GACAGCAAGCAGAGTTCACGATCGTCACCAGAGTTTCCAAATTTTCATTGGGAGAATTTCGCTTTTTTTGTTTTGTTCTGAATTTTCGGACACTCGAAATGTTTTTTTGCCTTCTAAAATGTTCTCTCTGGCAAAAAACATTTGTACTGCACGGGAACGAAAAATGTGTTTTCTGATCTGTTCTAAGCAGTATTTTCTAATGGTTAGAGCGGCAAACGCACTTTTCAGCAGGACAGGTAAAGTCTCGTTTGTTTGTTCGATTGTTGTCATTTGTTGTTCCATTCTTCATTCCATATTGTAACTGACGAAGTACGAAAACATTCCCGTGACCATGGATCTAAATAAAGTCCGTATTTTTTTGCTGTTTTGTTATTCTTGGAGATTTTTAGGTGAGAACCGCAGTCTCCGAGGTCGCTCGTGAGGTCAGAAGCCGTCATTTCTCTATGAGACGCTATAGCAGTAGGTGAAGAAAAGTTCGTGGCTTATACTGAAAAAAAGAGAAACAGGCCAAAGTGGGAAATACAAGCAGATAACTGCTTTCTTTTCTAAGCAAGTGCATTAAGATTTTTAGTACGGATTCTGCTAGTTATGACATATTCGTCTACATTTGCTGGATTTCAGTAATGAAAGGAAAAGAGTTTTAGTATCTAATATTGAAATGTTCAAATGTTAACACAGCTGCACACCCGCTGGTGATTTTTTTTCGGATTATGGTAGGCGGTGCCGTCTGCTAGAGGAAAACTCGTCAATTTAGGACGAGTCACACTGGAACTAGACAGTGAATAATTCTGGTAAGAAAATAAGATCAAAATTTAGTTAAGTGAACACATTAAAGTGTTTTCTAAGAAAACATTTAGGGAAAACTTCTTAGAAAGAGTTTTCAGTTCTCAGAAGAAAAGCACATCTAGGGTCAGTTAAGAAAATACAATAAGAAAAGCTTTCGTAATTTGTTAGACTTTGGTTCGGATTCTTATTGATGCACCTTTTTGACTTATACGCTACCAGTTTTTTTCCGTACTCTATAAAAATCTGCGCACGACCAGTCATAATTTGTCGTCATCACGATAGCGCCGGTTATGGGAAGAGACTGGCACGGATATCGTCAGTACGCAGGGGCTTAGTGCAGAACGAATTTGCTGGTTTTTTCCCACTCCTTGTGGTTTTCCGATTTGAATAATTTTCCTAGCTTAGCACTAAGCTATTGGGACTTGCCGGTGTCGTATACATGATAGTGGTTAGTACCGTTACAAAAGTCTTAAAAAAATCGTCTACACTCTTAAAAAATTGCTTTTCGAAAATATTCGCTCCCTTGGAACTTTATCTGTGAAAAATTTCCACTCGTAATATAGGACCACTTCAGTGCAGGCCTCACCAATTTAGGACGAGCTGTTACGTATGGGACCGACGTGAGATCGCTCCATATTACGAGCTGTATATTAGTTCGTAAGGAACAAAATACTCATGTCAACTTTTGGTAAGGCGAATGATCAAACCAGCTTTTACCCCTATTTGGAATTATGTGCAGGTATATATTATTTTATGTATACAGAAAAAGCATGAAGAACAAACCGTTTGATATCGCTCCATCCCTTAGGCATACTTCATACATCCACCTCCATTATTGAGGTGACTGAATGAATAATTGGCTTGCACTGTGACTTGGGGTTGCTACTCATGTGTCAACTCATTGTGTTTACCCTTGCACGCAGGGTTTGTACCAATTCAGCGCTTCCTGTTGGACAGGCTGATTTCGCCTGGACAAGGATCGAACCGAAGACTGCGTGTATGTTCAAAGGCACTTAAAAACACTGCACCTTCTCTTGCACTCATGACTTTTTCGTAATTTGCATTTCGAGAGAATATGGCGGAAATATGTTGGAAGAGTGCCTAACAGAGAGTTCAGGTGGAAGCGTTTTTGAAAATAGAGAATGTGTCGGTCCTCTTAGATTTTCTTCGTTGCTTGCAAAATCTCTGCCGAAGGTGTTTAACACTTCCTGCTTTATTATGTTCACTGAAAGTTTTTAAATCTCTCGTTTGAGTGCTTGAACGGTGATTCAATGAAAGGTAAGGACATTACACTTACTGAAAATTGTGAGTGAATTTATGGGTTGAAACCTATTCCCTTCGTGTATTTTCCGTTTTAAGTTGAATTCTGCCTCCTTTCGTTCAATCATTTAATCATTTAAATCATTTAGTCCTTTTTATATACGTATAAATGTGCTATTCCTAGAGTTTCTATTTTGCACACCTTGATCCGAGCAAAAGTTAGCAATTAGCTGATTGGAAGTGCCAAGACAATACGTTAGGAATTGGAACAAGCCATAAGCCACACCCTCGAAAAAGTTAAGCCGTTTAAAATTCATTCTGCTCAGCCTATAGCCTGTTGAGTTATATATAGACAAACAGAAGCAAAAAAGCTCTTCGTATCTTTTCTTAATCTTTGGTCCACAATAATCACGAGAAAGGGACAAAGTGCGGAAACATTACTGGTAAAAACTAGAATCAGTTAATAACTAACAACATTACAGATGATGCAGGTGTTGGTTGAAAAGTTGGAATTTGAAGGAGAACAGTGCTGAAAAAGCGCAAGCGGTGGCGTGAAATGGCATGAAATAACAAATTTTGTGAAAAATTATTTTAAAAGAGAGTCCAAACTCCATTTTTAGGCGCTCTAACTTTATTTCTAGAGATGTTGGAAACATTTGTAATGCGTAAAAATGATCAATAAAAGATTTCACATTTGTTTTTAGTTGCAGAAAGTTGAGAAATCTAAAAATCCAGGTATAACCATAATGAAGCTGTGATACCAGCAAGGTTTAAACTCCAAGCCAAATTCGAGCCAGCGATTACATTTTCCGAGAACACATGTGCTAACCATTGCACCATCTAGACTCTTGCTTTGCCTTTTCTCAGCCAATTTTTAACCCTAGTGGTGGCATCAGCAATCACCCGACAACGAGAATGATCTGCGGAGCACAAATCGAAATTGAACCGTGTCGAACTGAGGCTGTAGTTAAGGTTACAATACATAACGATGCCGAAATATTTGAACTCGAATCCTAAGCCAGATTAAGTGCAGATTTTGCTTCCCAGACCACTCTCCTTTGATCGGAGGATGCTGATGGCAATGTTAGCGTAAAAAAACTGGCTGAGAAAAGTCAAAGCAATGGTCTCATGGCACAGTGGAGAGCACGTGGTCCACCTAAGAAGGTAATCATAGATTTGAGGTCTGTTGGGGTTCCGAGTTCTGCTTATATCTCAGGTGATAGTATTTCGCATAATGCTTCGCCGTGAAAAAACATTGGGCAGAAAATGAGAAGTTCTCTCTTGTGATTCAGATATTATTTTCAACACCAATTAAACACCTAGGTCTAACTAATTCCTTGCCCTAGTTCCCAATATCATATGCTGAAACGCCTCACCAGTTCTTCATTGTTTTTTTTCTCGGATTAAAAGAACAAAGGAAAATGGAGGGAGAATGAAAAAAAGACGCCGAAATATTTTCTTACTGTTGATTTAACTGTTCGTTTCTTTCGACGAATTTTTTGCGGCGAGTGAAAAATGTGCTATGGTCCAAGCAACTAGTGATGATGGACCGTCTACGTACCCAAGTTTCTTCTTTTCGGTTCTCTCTCTCTCATTCTGTCTTTCGTTCAGAGACCATCTAAGTCTTACTGAACTCGACGTTCACGGTTCGATTCCTCCGTCCTCGTGCAGAGTGTGAGTCATTTGTCGGTGTTTTCAATTGTGTTTTTGTATTGTGGGCAGTCCTCTGGACGGACGAGGCACCATCACATCTTTCCGTCAATCGCTGCCGGCCCGTTCATCGCCCGTGACGGTGTTCGGAAGGGTTAGCTGGTCTAGTTGTTTAGGATACGCTCATTTCTTCAGAATATATCTTTGCTTCTCTGTACAGTTCCGCTAGACTTCATTAATTCTCTGCAAATTCTACGTTCATATCTTCTGAATTCATTCATCACTTCCCTTCAACTGTTTCTCGAAAATAGTTCGGGAAAATTATTTGTAACTCCCACGTCCGACTTTCTATTAACCTCGGCATTGATTGAGCAAGCTGAGCAGAAGTGGAAAGATTTGTAACTATATTCATATTCATTTATTTGTTTAATTATTATTTCAGAATACTTTTTTATCCACATCGTGTTGGGTGAAATGAATGAAGGAAAGAATACATATTTCTTCAGCATACTTTCTTCACACTTATCGTTCGACTCTACGCCCGGCTACAGTTATAGACTGAAGACTGTCCCAGAAGTCGTAGGTTTATTTTTGTTCAACCTATGTTTCGGTTTTAAAAACGCTTATAAGCATTTTTTATTGCAGGTTACTGCATTTGGATTAAGTCTGTCCTCTCCATCGATGCAACCACTTTATGTTCATGAAGAACAAAACAGACCAGTCCAAAACGATCCGGTTTTCGCATATATCGTCTTTAAAGCTGCATTTTTCGTTTTTGTTCATCGATTTTCATCGTTTTTGCCTATCTTATTTATTGATCTAAATATGTTTAGTTGTTTTTATCTATCACAATGTTTAATTACACGCAGCGGAATGCGCTACGGTAGAACGGATCGATATCCGAGTGCTCGGCGGGCTTGATCACATTGGTCCTGTTGTTTTCTTTTTCTCTGGCTAGTTCTTATATCGTTTCATCTCTTCATCTTCTCTATTATTTATTACGCTGAATCCAGTCTCTCCCTCCACTGTATCGTTTTCGGCCGTCGTCGTCGTCGTTCTTTTTTTTTCTTCCTCTTTTCGTTCTTTACGCGCCACCTTTCCATAATTCCCCATGACCGTTTTTACAAGTCTCCGTCGCATCGACGTCATTTGGTTTTCTGTTCGCTTTTCGTCGGAAATACGTCCAGTTTCAGGGGATCGGTCGCCACTCGCAGTGTGGCGTTCACCAATTTCCTCTTGGCATCGCCTAGGAGCTCTTCGGTTCTGACGGTTCTGAAGCGCACCATTACTGAGTGAAGATCAGAATGTCGTCGTCTGATGGAAATAACACACCGAGTCCGTCAAGTGTAGCTTCATCATCACAACAACAACCACTAGGTAAATCATTGTTTAGTTATCCAGATAAAGAATACGAAGAAATGAATGGATTTTATGGTGGCGTATTCATCCGGTACGACCTCGTTTCGGGTTTGCTGCTGAGCGGTGAGGTTGCGTAATTCAACACAGTGGAAACTCAACTTAGAAGCACTAGCCCTCCTTATTTGTTGACTATTGACATTGTCTCCACATATTTTTTGATCTTCAAACTTTTGTAACAATTCTCACTCCAAAGAGAGTAATGATATTCATTTAATTGCCAAAAATAGCTTTACTAAAGGGAGAGAGAACATTTTATAAACACTACCCAATTCTCTCGTTTTTCTCCTTTTTTTGCAACGACGCAATATGAACAGGGATGAAAATTCTGTATCATTTTGAATTTAATAAAAACTTTTCCTGTTTCAACCAGTCTCTATAGCTGAGAGAACCTTTGTTGAAAAAGGTTATTGCTCAAGTGCTTTGTTTTTTAGTATTTTATTTCGCTTTGATGAGTGACGTTATGAACCGAAAACTTTCAGTGAAAAAGTGTTACGAGGAGGAAAATGATGATTGATGAAAAATGAAGAGAGGATAAATGAAAAAGATGCGCCGATGTGAAAAAGAAAAAGAATATTGCACAGATAGTTATCTTTTCCATGGCTTACGCTGTAAAAAGTTCAATAGCGTCTGGATTGAAGTAGTAAATATGGCCGCGAAGATGTTTTTTTCTACTCAAGCTCACCTTCTGCTAGACCTCTGCGAAGTAATACAGCCGTTAAAGACAACAAAATGTCTTTTTATTGATTAAATTTAGTTACTCATTACATTTTTAAGAAAGGAGACCGGCTTGAAAAATGGTTCTTGGAATCAATTGAATCCTTTCCATTCTGTTCCCATAAACCTTCAAAAAGCACCTATTGTTCCGTCGAAAATTACGGAGACCCTCTGAAAATTTCTGACGAAAATCTCTCCAGCTGATTTTATACATTTAATTTGTGTTGGAGAAAAAGCATCATCCTATTTGAATTGCTTAGTTAGGCATGTTGCAGTAAGTTTTTAAGAAAATAGAACAGCACATATTTCAGTAGTCCAAAAGGAAAAGTGAAAAAAAATTTACTGAGAAATGAGGAATGTAAAAGCAAAACGTATAAATGATATGATGTAATGAATATTGACATCACCTTTTGAAAAAATGGGGAAAAAAATCAGTTTTAATAAAATTATGCGTAAACAAAACTTATAGGGAAAATCCATTTCTAACTGCTTCCGTCCGTTCCGAAGATTCCAGTTACGACCTATTTTTTCTTAAACCTATAAAATTTTCGCATAGCATGGAATTTCTTGCCCATAACATTAGAATGCACGGAAGCAAGTCATTTTCTACGAATAGAGATAATTCTTTTAATACTATGTATAAAATTTATCTGCCCATTTCAAAACTATGGGATGTCGTTGATCATTCATCATCATTGAGTGCTTTAAACAAAATTCTATCAATCAAAGTGCCAGGAATTGTTTCGCTTTCGATCTGTCACCTAGTTTTATTAACTCTACACGAAAATTTAAATGATTTAAATTACAAAATGGTATAATAAATCTTTTGAGATGATAATGATGAATCTGTTCGACACCAACACATTTATTTCCCAGCTGAAACGTCACATAGCGTAGCAAATCTTCTTAGAGTAACTTGTTCAGTTGAAATACGATGTGATTTCGTCAAAGACGAATAATCTCGTCCATGACCAATAATCTCGTTATGACATGTGATCTCGTCCACGAAGTATGATGTTGTCCACGGTGAATAACTCGCCCGCTCATAGGGATATTCACCCCTAGTTAGCACTAAGAGCTTTTGTGCAAATATATTAATTCCATCGTATGTTTTTACAGAGATTTATTTCCACCTATTTCCACAAAAAATTTTTTTTTGCTGTTAGCGAAGGTTTGTCTTTTTTCACAGTTTTGTGCAGTCTTGAGGCACGCCGTCTTCTTCCAGTCTGCACCACTGCAGACAGTCGCATTAGAAACTATTATGGAACCGTAAAGAGATTGGCCGTACTGCGAATGTGTTTATAGGGGAATGGTCGCTGTTTCTGATATAAGTATATTCTAATTCTTGGTTTCACAACTAGTAATCTCAAACTCCCAGATGGTAGTACCGAATATTTCTCAATTTTCGAGGCTATATATAACTGTTGGGAGCAGTGGTTAATCATGCAGTCTATCATCAAGAACCAAGGTGTTGATTCGACCCCATCCTCTACGCTCTCCTTCAATCCACGTGGGAGCGCCTAAACCCGGCTAACCTCACAATTGCATGGAGGATGGACATGAATAGCGTTCTACGAAATTTATAAAGAAGGCGGTTGTCTCAAGCAGTAGCTCAAGCAACACGTGAAATATGTGAAGACCCTTGTGGACAGTGAATGCTTAGAAAATCAATGGAATGCAAGAATTCATTTTTCTTCTGGGATACGCTTAATAAATGTGATGATGGGTGATATGAAAAAAAATAGTGAATCTGTTGGTAACCTCCTTGTAATGTATCACAGATCTACGCTGAAGGTGACGCACATTACCACCATAAAACTGTGAAACTCCACTTAGAGAGACGTTCTTTATACAGAGGGAGTACTTAGACTGTGTTCAGACTCCTTCCTGCTCATGACTTTTACGGTAGAAAATTACTGAATGTAACGATTTTTTATTGTTCTTTTATCGCTCAAATGATGGCCATGTGAACAATCGTCAGGAACTGACATATTTTTCGACAGTCCCATTGGATAAAGTATGAAGCTCTCGACGTTGATCAACTCTCGAAGGATTCGCCCTGCATTCGATTTCATTAAGCATCGTTTGAAGGTGATTAAATGCGTATCTGGTCTTTACAATGACTCGCGGTGGCGTACCGATTTATCGGGCCAGTGGTGTTATCCTCCTAGACAAGTCTGGTACCAATTTGCCGACTCCGGAGGGATGGAAGGCTTGGTGGCCATGGGTGCAGGGATCTATTCCACGTGTGTGTTGCAAGGCGCCACCGACGACTGCACCACACGCGCCCATCGACAGTCATGCAATTATAAAATTTATATTGAATTTTCGAGTAATTCGAAATAAGTACTGGAACCTTTTGGATCTGAAGATTAAGGGAAGCCTGGAAGCTCAGTTTTTTTGTTTCCGTCTAGAATTTTTCAAAACTTGTTTGAAAAAATCGAAAAAACTTTCTTTTTTGGATTTTAAAGCTTGCTGGTTCTTAGTTCCTTTTAAATTTAGCAATGAACCCGAATAGTTTTGCATTTGCCCAAAAACTTGTCGGATATTTTGATATATTTGTCATTGGCGTTAGCAAAACAGAATTTAAAATCGCCGAATAAGATCGAATAAGAAGCTGAGAGTAAAGATTTTTAAATGATCCCTTTCGTGGTGATCTTTTATGTTTACGGCAAACGACTGGAAAACCACTTCTTTCTTTATCACCATTTCTGAGCCGTTTCACCTTCCCAACACTATTTCATTCCTTTTCTTTTTTTGTGAATTCCTTTTTTCTGTTCGAATAACAATGATATGATTTCTTCCACATGAATTTCAAAACTGTTGCTTTCTTTTTACGCTCCTAACCACTGAACACAACCAACGATCCAAGTGTCAATCAAAGAACCTTCTTCAACCACTTTCAGCGGCACTCCTCATGCACATCTATACAATCCTTGTGTTAGTGTGTTTGGAGATTTCTAAACTGCGGTAGTGGAATTTAGCAACAGGATAAGAAGTGAGAGATTATTCATGGTGAAATGAAGTGAGAACACTCCTATTATTCGTCGCTTCCTCACGGTTATCACAGTCCTTTAAACAAAACTTTACAATGTTTAACTCTTTGCTTACTGCCTATTATTCTTTTACGGCGGTAAATTACGGGAAATACAACCACAATGGTTCTGAGGCATTTGTAAAACGTAGTCCTCAGGCCAGATTAGAGCCCGCAACTACCCTTTCCTGGGGCTCATGTCTTACCCATTACACCACGAAGGGGCTTGCTTTGTCTATCTGTCAGAAATGTGTCACAAACCTTACGGTTTATGTGCAGTAATAGGTGATGCTGTAGATTTCACAGTTTTTAAGTTGCTTAATAGCACAGTCCTATGATTGGTTAGTAGTCGTACAGTAAGCTAGCTTGTGATTGGTACATTGATATATCTATGGTCCAAGCGTTTACTTACCCTCACGAGATTACTTAACAGCAAAGTATTTCTATAGCTATTGCTTAAGCTTTCAATAATCAGTACATGTAATTAATAAATACATGTAATTTACCTATGAATGAGATTTTAATCAGGTAACTCACAGCACGAACCTGACGAAAGAAGGAAGTATAAGATAATTCAACCTTATCTTTCAGCATTACCCACAAGTTCGTCTTCACAACTGCAGATACCAGCTGTCACTAAGAACTCTATGAAACGAGAATCACCGCAATTAAAAGCGGAAGGCATCGTTAGGACCAGGTTAGTGAACATATTCGTGAATCGTCCGTGATTATTTTTCAGAGAAAACTTTCGGAAAAAGTCATCTTGAGCGGATCGATTGACGTGTTGAGGCAATGTCATTGTTTGTTTTCCAAACAGAATCATTTGAAAAAGCATCACCATGGCCGGATCGATAAATATGTTCACGGTTCTACAGCGTTTACTTCTAGATATCTGTTCGAATTGGAAAATCCGATCACGGTGCTGTGTTTACGTATTCTTATTTATCTTCGTATCAATTCAGAAATTCGTATTGTTTTCCAAAAAGAAAAATTTCGTTATCTAAAATGACAACTTTCATTTTTCTGTGTCACTTCCTCGTCCTTATTCGGCCTGTAATGGTCTAATGAAAATAAGTAATCGTGAAAGTGTTAAAGCTAGCCGCCTTTCAGCCTTACTGAGTGACAATTTTAATTCTACTGTATGCTAACGAAGTGATACGGTACTTGTCATAGCGTGACTTATTCTAGTTTTGAAGAGTTTCACTATCAGTTTAGTCGCCATCGATTTGTGTTTATGAGTTGTCACCCCTGACGAGATCAAATCGTAAAAACTCAAATACCGAAAAAAAGAGCTGATAAGAGGATTGTTAGCCTTCGCTATCACTAGTCTAGTTCTATTCAGTGATTTTTTCTTGGTATCGATCACTTCTAGAAGGTTTTCTTATGCGACCAAGACACATTCGATGAAAGAAATCGTTCATATTTGTTTTTGCAGTGCTTTGGAATGAAAGAGGGAAGAGGATTTCCAGAAAGAAAAAACTTGGAAAAGTTGTTTATATGAAGAGCATCATCTGTTCATATGAAGAGTCTATTCAGCTATGAAGCCGGCTTTTTATCATACTTGTCTTCATAAAGTCTCCATAATAGCTATTTAATTTCTATTACCCTAAAGATCTTCTTCACCACATCAGAAAAAAACTCGTCGTGGGTCACATTAATCGTACATGACAGGGCATTTATGTGGGCGAGAATAAAAGGGACTAAGAGAACAAAAGAATGCTGCAGGATATATTGGTTTATAAAAAGTCTCCGAATCAACTCCAAATTTAGTAGAAGTTACTAATGTGCCTAATTTATGATTCTCCACATCTTTTGAACGATTACAACTTTTTCTTGGTCAGCGTTAAAGTGAAAGCTAAAAGACTTGATGGCAAAGCGAAAAGATTAGAAAAGATTGTAAAACCACTCAAAAAATGAAGACAGAGGTATACTAAGGTATACCATCTCATCATAAATTTTGCAGAATAGAGCTCAAAGATGTGGTTTAAAGCATAATTAAATACCTTTTTAAGGTTATCGTAGCTGCTTATCGTTTACTACTCGTTGGGTTTTTTCTTAAAGTCTTTACTGCTGAATTATTCATTATATTAGTTGGTCTTGGGTGTGTGTGACGCAGTGGTCGGAGGCACCTTACTGAGAACCTTATTCTTTTCTTTATTAGTGGGTTTTCTAGGAACCTGGTTAAATGTCATCTTAAACCGATGCCAATTCAAACTCCCTGTAATTGATCAATGCGCCTTATAAAACGTTTGTTGAGGAGTTTGTTAACAAGTTAAATGTCAGTCCAAAAATACGAATTAAGGTTAAATAACTTTATATTAACTATATTATAGTGCACTTGAGATGCACATTGATTTTTCGAAACGCATTTAATCCTCTAATGAAAGTGTAATAAATTTTTAATAAGCCTAGACAACAATCAGATGAATTTCCCGATACTCTGTTTTTTAAGAAGTATTACTAGTCCGGTGTACTTTCCTCACTCCCCTTTCGCCATTCTTTCTTTTTCCGTTCTACGCACTTTTTTGACGATAACCGCTATTCCATTTTTTTAGAACTCGGATAAAAAAATCGAGTGATCGGTTTAATGCGAATGCCAAGGTTAAGACTGAAGTTTTTTGGGACGAGGGATACTAAAGGGAGAAGACGTATGAAAAAGTTCAGACACCCTGAAAAATGGCATCGATCGGCATCGGAACGTTGCTTTTGCAGTTATGTTCAATGGATTTGATTAAATCGGTTTCTTCAAACACGTTGATAGAACTCTATTACAAACACGGAAATAGTGTAACAATTCCAAGTGAAACGTAAAATAGATTAAAACTGTGCTATGATTGAATAGATTTCATAAAAGCTATTTGAATTGGAATTTTTTAGTTGTCCTCAACTGTTACAGATTCTTCGTTAGGTTAGATTAAGTATTGTTGACTCTCGAAATCTCGACTTTATTAGTGTTTTACTACTTTCGAATCCTTCCAGTACTCCAAAAACGTTAACTCCGCCTACATCCATATCAGAATGGCAACTGCTAGCAGTGCTACAGCGCGCCAATCTTGTACAGTACTACGATATGTTCATATCACAAGGTAAGAATAATGAAACATGCAAGAAACCGATAGTGAATATTGAATATGGATTAATCAAGACCTAGACAACTACGAGGACAATACCAAAAGTGGAAAACTTTTTTTTTGGTGAGACAATTCAGGATTTTCAACCCCATTCGTAACAGAGTAGGGTCACTTTTGGGGGCCTACTTATTTATCAAGTCAGTGTTTTCTATTCTCTCAGAGCAATGATTCGCCAACCCCGAATCAGTAGGGGATTTGGTTAGCCTGCGATGCGATGTGCAACTAACGACGGCGTATTTGGTGAAGAGTTTCGCTAATCATTGCGCAACATGCGACCTTTTGCATTTCTACGCATTCAGTTTGACTCTACTAGGCGGTGACGATATCAACCAGATCATGCAGTGTGATGAAGGTGAATTTCTGGAGATTATGTCACTGGTTGGGATGCTCTCCAAGCCATTGCATGTTCGTCGATTACAACGTGCCTTAACCGTGAGTGATTTTACTGTTGAAAAGTTTGTCACTTACTTACTTGCTTTGTATTAGTATACCGCCTTGTCTTTATTAAACGGAAACCAAAATTCAACTATACATCATTTTCTTTACCATATTGCATTGAACTTATACAATGTGTTTGCAAAAGTTCGTGTACTAAGAGTTCTTACCGATTTCTTATACCATTCGTAACCTTTTTCGTTTTGATGACATTCTTAAGATGAAGGTTTTTACGAATATGAAATTGAACTTTGTCATTTATTTCTTAGACTTCGGTAACTACAAATAGTTCAAAGTGCTTGGGCGTCACTTATTTGATGCATGATGGTTCGTGCCCCAAAAGGAACACCTATGTTCACTCCAACGCTGGTGGCCTTATGAAATTGGCTATCGTTGCTCGTGCATCTCGACTTATGCCATCAAGCCAACGGCAACTTGTAGTTGGTGTTCCAGAAGTTTAGGATAAATCCTCTCAGCACTCGACGATCGATGTTTGCTCAGTGGCGTGAAGCATATGTTTTGTACAGCTTTTGCGAAGGCTTATTCGCGCTTTCTGATTTGATATGTGTCTAGGTGAATGTGACTGCCCAGGAGATAGGTGTAGATGTTATTGACAATGCTCTCAAATGCCAAAAAATAAAAATGGCGCGTGTCGCGCTGTGGTCGGAGGCGTCCTGCAACACCCCCACGTGGAATCGGTCCCTCCGCCCATGGCCCACCAAGCCTTCCATCCCTCTGGGGTCGGCAAATTGGTATCAGGCTTCTCTGGGAGGACAGCACCACTGGCTCGATACATCGGTAGCCCGCCGTGAGTGTCATTGTAAAGGCCGGATATGCATTCAATCATCTCCAAACGATACTTAATGAAGACGAATGCATGGCGCATCCCTCAGGGATTGATCAACGCCGACAGCTTTATCGTTTATTCTATCTTCCAATTCCAATATAAACAGTTTGACTATTGCACTTAGGTTGAACAGGGCAATCATTCTGGTAGAGTTTTCGGCGAAGTCCCTTTGCAGCTTTAGCGTGTATTGCGTTTGCTTTTTCCTTAAGGACTTTTTTATTAGCTCTTTGTTGATTTTCATATGTTCTGAGTAAATCTGGCGACTTCTTGTCCTTGGCTCACATGGCTCGTGGTTTACTTTTTATTTTAAAACATCATCTTTTGATGTCATGTAATATCTTGACTTTTTCATCACTGTTGTCTAAGTTTTTGATGAGTCTTATTCCTCGTTGGTGCTGTCGACAGCGATTTATTTCCGGCTAAAGGAAAAATTAGAGTACACGATTACCAGCTCTAATGGACCTGTATCTAGTTCCTTAAATTTTATGGCTTTCTCTCCATTGTGTGGAAAAAATTTTAGTGGACTTTTAGTGGCCCAGCTATATGTAAAATATTGGAACAAGGGTAACATCGCCTAGACAAAAGCTTTGAGAATCTAGGTAAAGCTGATCGGTTTTTTTTTTTTGGAATTCTCTGTATAGCAAAGTAACTAGCCGCTAACTCAGGTTTCGAAAAGTGTCTTCGATGCTATGGAGAACATCGTTATGTTTAAAAATTTTAATGGATTCTTGCAAAAATAAAGGAAGCAGTTACGTCTCATCTTCACCGCCTTAGAAGGACATGTTCGATTCCACTAAGCCTGAAGAGTCACAGCGTCTTCACGTTACACAGAATTTTTCTTGTTTCCATCAGATAACTCACATTTAAAATTTTAACCTTTCACGGTGAGATCGTCACCATCGACATAGTGGGAGGATGGTTCTGTCTACAAGCTATATTATCAAACAAAAATTGTCCAGCTTCACCATTCTCTAGAGAATGTCATAGACGAAGAGTCAAATAGAGTAGCACTGGAACGAAAGGCCATCGTAAAACCTTTGTATACTGCATTTTACCGCTGATATTGTTTTAAAACATCTATAGAGTGTGCCAAGTTGTCTGTTTTGATAGCTTTTATAGAAAGATTGGTACATGGCTACGATTTAACAGAACGAATTTTCCTGAACCTTTTCGCTCGGCCTATTTGCGTCATTGAGAAGATGGCATGAAGAAAGAACTGCGGCAAGGAAGCGTGCTTTTTGTGGAAATTCTGAAGAAATTGAAATTTTTAGCATCGATGATGAGACGAGAAAGAGGAGGCCGTTTTATTCACATCTATTCAACTCAACGGTTCTCCTTGTTTAGGAAAGTGGTTCCTCATCTAGCCAGCGTAAACGCCAGAGTTGTTGATGCGATCTATTTCATGTCAAGCAAATGAATGAGGTAATCCGACGTTGCCTTTATATTCATTCGACGAATCCCGCAACATTGTGATCCAAAAAACCAGGCAATGTGGATGTGGAAGTCGTCTTAATGGCCTCGTTGATGAAATATCACCTGAAAGTTATTCTAGCTAGTAAAATGCACTGAGATCTTGCAAAATTGTTGCCAATATAACAATGTTGTAGCTTTTGATCTCGTTGACTAGGAAGATAAAAGGATAAAACTCTCGACTAATCAATCTCTGAGGGATGCGCCATACATTCGACTTCACTAAGCATCGTGTGGAGATAATTGAATGCATATCTGGCCTTTATAATAACTCGCGGGGGCCTGCCGATGTATCAAGCTAATGCTGCTATCCTGCCAGACAAGCATGGCACCAATTTACCTATCCCAAAGCGATTTTGGTGGGCCATGGGCACGGAGCTCGATTCCACGTGCGTGTTGCAGGACGCCTTCGAGCACTGCGCCACATACGCCCTTTCCGATGACTAATAAATCGATTAAATGACGGAGAAAAAAGGCGGGCAGTGCTTTCTTAAAATGCTTTTCTTTTTCCCTATATCATTGTTCAAAGCATTCTTGTCTTTTCTTGTCCTTATTCTTATTTTTATCTTCCATATAAAATGCCCTTTTATATTCTACATTCTACATCTTCTATGGTCTAAGAAATTATCAGCTATTTCTCTTTTCGCACAGCTAAATACAAAATACAATTAATTAAAATTAAGTACAGTTAAAAACCTGTAGAGATCATGAACTGGTGGCGCTTTCAAAGTTATGCTGTTCGTTGCTAAATGATTTCCTGTTGTTATAGAGGTGCAGATAAATTCTTACCTACATCAATCATCTTATGCATACTGTTTATTCAAAAAACATGTTTGTTGCCCAAACTTGTTTCGTACTCGGGCAGTTAGCGTCCATCTAGCACAGTAATTAGAGATTCCTAGCAATTCATACGTGATCGTTGGTTCAGTCCCAGCTCCAAACTAACTCCATGCTCTCGAACCCTCCAGAGTAGGAAAGGTAGCAAACTTATCTGGGAAGGTAAGGAAAACGCCAGCTCGACACACTGAAAAGCGCCCTGGAAAGTCACTGTAGAAGCCAGGTGTACATTCACTCATTTTTACCTGCAGCAGATGCAGTCGAATGCACGGCGGCGAGTCCCTCAGCGATTGATCAAAACCGAACGCTTTTGCCCTTCAATTATTACAGTAGATATTTATTATGACCTTTTTTTTACACTTAGTGTGCGGGTTCCAGCAGTACTCGCATTCGATTTGTTTCCATGCATCCATCATCCACTAAGATTTTCAAAACTTTACGTGTAGCTCCTGCTCCTGCCTGAGGATTTTCCTTTCATCATGAATGTCTTGGTTGGTCGTCGAGACGATTCTCTCTGGTGTCTTGAGATTTCATGGTTGGAGCGTTTCCGCATGGATTGCAAAGAATAAATTTTTCCTATATAAGACCTGTACCAATTTCTCGATCCTGGAGGGATGCCGGTCATCACTACCACTGTGCTCTGCCTCCCTACAGTAGACATTTAGTTATGTAATTGTGTATCTTCATGTTAAAAATTATTACTAGTTAAACATTTATCCGTTCGCCTGTAACCTTTAAGGAGTTCTCAAAAGATCAAACAACCTTCAACCTAGCCGCCATACAACATATCGGTCCGCCGCCGGTGTCTCCGTATGCGCTCGGTGGTCCCGACATGTCTTTCTTAATGCCTGGTTGGTTTCACTATTTATTTTTCTACTTTCTATGTGATTTTTTTCTATTTAAAGAGGTTTTTTGTTGAGCCTTGAAATTTTTTTTCAGAATGAAGAGGTTTGCGCAATGAGGGGTTATTATTTCATTGCTATAAATATTTTTTTTAGCTAACTATTGTGTCCTTGAAAAACCTTCCAAATGTCCGGCTACTCAAATTATCTACTCAAATTATTAGTGTTCTAAGTTCGGTTTGAAGAGGTGACGATAAGCGACTGAGCGATTACTGATTTTTTGCTCGTATGCAAGGCATTCCCAAAGCCATTCTGTGCGTTGTGGCCGATGAACGTTCGGGTTTTCTTGAAAGCTCCATTGTTTGAAAATTTGAACAGATTCGAATAAACTATGTAGTTCAAAGTTATGCAGAAGGAAGCATGAGATGAACTAGTGGAAGTTAGTCAGAACGAACAAATTCGATAAGTATTTGAGGAGTTAGATTTAGATCCCTACGCTTAGTTCTGTTAAAAGATTATTCAGAAATTTATTTATCAAAAGCCTAATATTTTAATCGGGCATCTTGCAATCTTGCATAATAACCTGTTCATCAAATTATTTGAGTATTCCATATTTTACTAGCGTCGATAGATCTAAAAAAAGCACCGACATTCTCTGACAAGTCGACGAGGATCTCCCTTAGGTGTTCTCTCGTACCTTAGTTGTTAACAAATTGATTTTAGGATTCGCGGCGACGTTAACAAATCTGTCGTCCACATCACCCGGATTGACAGCGACGTCGACGGAAAATACGTCGCCTCAAAATGGGAACGTCACTCACAACTCGGTACCGTTGGGTTAGTCTTTTGGGGGAATTCGGGTTAAATTTGGGATTTCAAATAGTCCAGGGCGCTTTTATGAAGATTTACTAGGTTTTATTATTATCCTTTTATACAATTCGACGTTATATATTGTGGAAGTCACAGCAGTTCTTTCATTCGGTTCGTTGTCGTGCACCCGCTGTCCGCAATCTTCTACGAATTCCGCAGTGACTTGTCCTAGTCAGACGATTTTGTCCTGTCCATTAATGTCTTTAATGTTGATTCAGTTGGTCCTCTATAGAAACCTAGGATTGTTTTACTAGAGCGTTGCTCTGCTTTAACCACATGCAGTCGTTGCCTTCTATGGAGTGAAAGGGGCTTTTGTCAGATAAACCTTGTACCATTTTCGATCACTCGTAGGGTTGGAGGCTTTGTTGACCCAAGGCGTGCTCGAACTTTTGAAGATGATAGGTCTTTTGCACGACATCTATAACCACTACGTTTACGGCACTCTTCAAAGTTCTTCTTAAGAGAAAAAAGTGTCTACGTCCATGAATACTTTGGATGATTCGTCGTGATGAATCATACTGGGCTCCACCACAATTTCCATTTCATTAATAATGATTTGCTAATTGGCCAAGCTTTTCCTTGCTACGAAATTCGATTAAGCCATCTTTCGAAGTTTTTTAGTGGTCATTTCAATAAGGTGCTGGCCGTTACGGATCGTAGATTAGGATTTACTGTCTTTTAACTCCGATTCCTCTGCAGCGGCTCAGCAAAATCAGCCGTTCGTCAACAACCCATAGCTCCAAGACGATTTAGTAGGACGAATCGTTGAATTCGTTTAAAACCAAAACGCAGCATGAATTTTTATCGAATCTCCACATTTCAAAAAAAGCAATTCACTTTTAATTTTGCTAGTGTCATTATTGGATTTGATTTGTGAGAAGAAATGGGGAAAAATATCAAAGCACACATAAAGCGGAAAATGACCCACTTCATGAAAAACCAATGGCCCGAAGTGAAGCATATCGAGCTAGATAGTTTTTTTTTTACTGTAGAGATCACCTTGTACGACCTTGGATGTTCAGTGAACATGGAAAATAACGTGAATGAAGAATTAAACAGAAAAAAGAAGCATAAGCTGCGGTCGGACTTCTCAGAAAAGCCGTCGACGAACTAAAAAACCCAAACCTTCGCACCCACATTTTCGATTTAACAGCTCTAGCAGCGTTTATGCGGAAAAAGCGTGGGCTGATACTTCAACTACTTTAGTAAAGGTTTACACCACTCATAAAGCCTTTTGGCGTTGTCTTCTGAAATATAGCCAGTACTCACAGCATCTAGCCGGTTCGCAAAGCTCAGATCTTCGAAGTCAGTCCTATTCTCGAGATCCAGGACATTACACATCAATAGCGAAATAGGGATGGCCCGGTGAAATAATAAGAAGAACATATGACAGATGGGCAAAAAAAATTATGGAGAGGACTCCATGAGGATCCAAGCGTCCCCTAGAACGATAGACACGTTGGGCGGACCTATTAGCAAGTAAAGTCAAACAACTGCACTTGCAGCTGCAGTTATTTTACAGATTACGCTATGAGATTTGCGTCGATGAATGAAAGGCAAAAAAGCGGATGGTGAACGTGATCGGATTGGCATTACTCTTAAAAATGGGTTATTGAACTATCCAAATAGGTAAATGAGATCTGTTACAAGCTCCTCGACTTTTAAATCGACCAGTTGGAAGGACCGTTGCAGCAACAAAAGCCGCAGCCTTCTTAGAAAAATTTCACTTCCAAGCCTACAAACTTCCCAGCGATGCACAATACCCTGAGATTGAAGATGATCAAAAACTGCTGGAAAGAGCATCGCAACACCCAACACCGCTATTATCTCTAGATTCTAAGACAAACCATCCATAACTCATATTCACCACATGAGTGAGCAGAAAAGATGACATTTAACAAATTCTTAATCTTCAGTAGAACCCATACACGAAACCGAGCATCGTCAACAAAGGTCTCGAGGCCGATTTGATTACGGACGTGAACTGTTGTCACCCACTTTTGTTTACTTCACGTGTGCGCAAAGGCCTCATATTTAGCAGCATCCATATATTGTTGCTGTCATTAAACTAATTTAAGGTATCGGGGTGAAATTTAAGAAGTGACTTAGCAGGCACGAATTATGCTTTTTTGCTGAGGCCCTGAAAGCTCGTTTTGTTTGTTGAGCAAACAGCCGACTTTATTTTGCATTCTTGTACAAAGTCAGTGTAGGGCAGTTGTTAGAAACGTCATGCAGCACACAAACCTCTTCGTTCTTACGCGTTGGGTAAATCAATTTCGCATCGATCCGGGTTCTGCAAATTGATGACAAGTTTGTCTGAGAGAATAAAGACAGTGACTTCAGGGCACACTTTGACAAACCATTGTATAGATAAAATGCATTCATTCACCTCTGTGATGCCACGAATGGAGTAAAATGGAGAGGAAATCAGCCTAGAGTCAGCTAACGCCAATCCCTTTATTCCTTTGTTCTTTAATTTCTCATATACACCTGGAGACACTTGGACATTTGGATGGCCCGTCTTCACTGGTTCTGTAGGTCCCAGCATAATTCCCACTTTTTCGGAGTTTTAGTGGTTTAGCCATTGTGGTTCCCTGACCTCTGAGGGCAACCTAGCCAAAGTCTCTCCTAGGTCGTCACCACCACAAGCGACCGCCGCATTTGTGGATCAGAAGGAGATTTGCCAGCATGTGAGTAGTTTGATACCAGGACGGTGATGAATCCTGGTATTGGTATTGGCTAACGTCACATATACATTAATTCATCGCTTTCATTACTTCACTTTATATACAACATTTAAAAAATATTTTCTAGTCTAAAAATGTACTTAAAAAAGAGTGCATAGGACTTCCGTTGTTCTAATATTGTCGTCGTTCAGCCATTGAGCTCTCCGCTGCTGTGCTCGGTACTATGGCCACTTCTGTCACAATCAACAACAGAAGTTGCGTCGGCGACTTCAGTGCTGGAAGCGCTCCCATCCCACCAGCAGCACCTGGAGGAACCGCAAACGTGGTTCGCGGCGAATTTCTACCGGCCTTCGGGCAAGGATCGATTAACGTTACCGGTGAAGAGAAAGAGAGGTAAGAAAAATCCAACATATCAAGAACTTTGTCTCTTTGAAAATTAATTTCTTTCCAAAAAAAAGACTGGATGGCAGTTTTGCGAAAAAGTGAATCAAGTGTTCTCTTGTGCTAATTTTCAACACTATCACAGTTTTTTGTTCAGGTCGTCCAGCCCTCTTTCAATAGGTGGAGACTTCGTGTCTTTGGGAGACTATGATCCAAGTGAGTTCGACGGTTCTCATCTCAAATGATCTCGTCGTCTCGCCGATCAGTAACATGTTTTATACCTAGATACTGCATTATGCGATTCGCCTGTCTTGTCCGATGCGCAGATTCGTCGTCTTTCGACTTGTGCGATGGCGATATGCCAGAAAATTCCACGACTGCCTCCGAAGCTCGTACAGAATAAGAAGCGAGTTTCAAAGTGGGTGGTGGTTTAGCGCACTGGGAACTTACTTTTCTTACTTACACCGGAAAAACAATATAATAAAAAAGGATTTCAGGTGTCTAAGGAAATATATAAAGGATATACATCATGCAGGCCATGAGCACAAAAGCATCGGTGGACCCATTATAAGCTTTCTCCCGCCCACGTTAAATTGCACAACCTCATTGTCTAAGGGCCTTGAGGCTAAAGAATGCTTCTACAAATTTGAGTGCCACCACAAAAAGAGTGTGTCATCTTTTGATCTGAAAGTCCTGCTAAGGCTGATCATTGCCAGGATTCACTGACATCCTCCGATTACATAGTTTACATGCAGTCACCGAACTCTTCTTGATCAAAGCACCCTTTGTCAAGTAGGTTTCCTATCAACTTGTCCACCGTGGAAGGAGTGGGTTTGGTAGGCTCGAAATGGAATCGAATCTGCAACCATAGGCTTGTTTTACAGCATTTCTAGCACTTGATTTTCCCTTAAAAGGAGACAGATAGATCAGATGTGGATGGTTACTTTGTTTTTCTCGAAGCTTCTTATTTCTTCCTCGTTTATTTTTCTCTTTGATAAAAATCTTTCCAACAGAGAAAAATATATGAGCAGATAAAGGTACCTGGATTCAAGAATAATTATTCAGAGAAGTTCTTGACCTTCTTTCTGCTAGCGCCGACGCGCCGAATCGTCTCGCTGACTATCGCAAATACTCAGCGATCTATGGGCGTTTTGATGCAAAAAGAAAGCCGGACAAGGTCAGTCCTTTTTTGTGCTCTTTAACTTTTTATTTCATTTTTTTGCACAAAATTTCGTTAATTGATTGGTTCGCAGTGTTTCGTCGTCTTATTAATAGTGGATATAGGGGCTGAAACCATCATCAAGACTGCAACAATAAAAAATCTTTTAACTTCGAAACATCGTAGTGTCAAAAAATATGCTACCGATGAAGATATTCTCGTGACTACCTTATCTATATGCAAAGGGAAAGAACTAGTGTTTTCCGTTAAACACTTTTAACGATATGTATTCTTTCTTTGATGAGCTGACACGAGGTTGATAATGATATTTATTTTCGGCTAACGTTCCGACGTCTTTGTCTTCCTTAGAGCCGATGATCCGAGTCGATGGTCCATGCTTGTTATTCGTCTCGACGTTGCAGCTTCCCCTTCGTGTCGAATCAGGCCTTCCTCAGTGAGCCATCTCCTCGAATGAGGCATCCTCACTCAGTGATGCCCTTTTATACACGATGCTGATGATACTCATCAAAGAAAGAATACGTATTGACTAGTGATACCGAGGTTCAAGGAAAGTCGGTTTCGAAATGTTACTACGCTTTGTGCTAGCTGATAACAACACCGACTTCTACACGATGTGCGCAATGATGTATGTCCGGAAGAAATACAAGTTGTTATCACCGGACATTATCATCATATCCACCATCAGCATTGTGTATAAAAGGGCATCATTGAGTGAGGATGTCTCATTCGAGGAGATGGCTCACTGAAGAAGACCTGACTCGACACGAAGGCGAAGTTGCCACGTCGAGACGAATAACAAGCGAGGACCATCGGCTCGGATCATCGGCTCTGAGGAAGACGAAGACGTCGAAACGTTAGCCGATTATCAACCTCGTGTCAGCTCATCAAAGAAAGAATATATATTGATTAGTGTTACCGAGGTTCAAGGAGAGTCGGTTTTGAAATAATACTTTTAGCGATGTTTAAACGACAAAAATAGGTGGCACTTCAAGTAAATATCACAAATTTTTACTGGTTTTAGTTTCACTGATGATTTATTAAAAATGAAGACGGATACACTAGTAGCGGCAAGTATGAAGTACACAGATGACTTCGTACTACACGTAAGATGTATTCTGTAGCTATCTGTCGGGTTTGAAATAGGAATCAAGCTGGTGCTTCTTTTTCAGCACATTGTAAATGTTTTCTTAGACTCTACGAGAAGCTTTACACTACCTTTGGCTTACTTCTAAGGTGATACTCTCTGATCTAGTCTAGATTTGCTAATGAAGAAAAACAGATTTGGGGTGTAAGCCGTGCATCAATCTTTCTTTGCGTACAGTTGGAACAAGCTAACATTATTTCTAACTGAGTAGCGTTTAAATTTGAAACTAACTGTTACTATGAAAACCAACATAAGGCATAAAAGGGTAAAGGATAAAGCTCTCGCCGTGGATCAATCCTTTTGGGATGCGCCGTGTATTCGACTTCATGAAGCATCGTTTGGAGGTGATTGAATGCATATCTGACCTTTACAATTACTCGTGGTGGCCTACTGATGTATCGAGCCAGTGCTGCTATTCTCCCAGACAATTCTGTTACCAATTTACCGACACCGGAGGGATGGAAGGCTTGGTGGGCCATGGGCGCAGGGGTCTATTCCACGTATGTACTGCAAGGCGCCACCGAGCACTGCACCACACGCGCCCTTACATAAGCGATAGCTAGGGATAGGGATGACATAATTTCAGTATCAAAGCTCAGCAGAGCGGCTGTTTTTCATTTACGACACAATGAATGCGAATATTGAAGCACCAGGTTAAATAACTTGTAGAAGAACACCGTACTTGGAATTGTTTAAGACCATGCTCACCGCTTCTTCTCCATTCTCTCTATTCTCAAAGAAGCGACAATACGCGATTTCTTTGCATCCAAAAAGGACAAGGATTTATTTAGTTTATTGTTCTTATTATGACATACGACGATAGTGGATCTTTTAAGGAAATGGAAAATGCTTTGCTTGGTGGAAATCCTTGAGGAAGGATAAATTTTGTTGTTTCTAGTAACCAGGATCGACTTTCTATTAACCTCGGCATTGGAATATGAATGTGTCGTTTTCTTGTTCAGCAATCGCGAGGTTTTTAAACAGCATACATTTACTTCCATAAAAAACACAATGCAATACAACACTAGCTGACGTTTTGGGAACATCACCCCCCACCTGGAATGGTGCAGTCATCAACCATATGCGACTATAATCAGCTGTTCTAAACCTCCTCATTGGAAGTCACGAAAAAAGCGACTCTGAAGAAGGCGATACTGCCGATACGTCAGCTAGTGTTGTATTGTATTGTGTTTTTATGTGGAAGTAAATGTATGCTACCACAACGTTGCTGAGATATTTGCAAAACTTTGAACCACAGGTTTCTATGGTGGGGAACGAACGCGCTATTATCCTTTCCGGGGAGTAACGCGTTCACCACCACACCATGCGGGTCCTTCGTTTCGCCTGTCTCTCAGCTATTTCTATCGATCTTTTTGCCACAGCAATCACCCGTCAGCGGGGTTGATCTGGGGAGCACAAATCGGCATAGAACCCAGTTAAGCTATGGCTGTAGTTGAAATCACAATGTTTAACATTTTGTTTTCTGCCTTAGGCAAAGGCAGAAAACAACGTTAAATGTATGCTGTTTAAAAACCTCGCGACTGCTGAACAAGAAAACGGCGCATTTGTTGTTTCTATACTCTCAACACCACAACTCCCAAAAAGGAGAACTCTTCAATTTTATGCAATTAAACTTTTATACGAATATTATTTCTACAGTACATTGTCATCAATATGTGTAAGAAGCTTTGCTAACAGATGATCAATAAAATAGAACAAAACTGGACGTTTAACTTTTACCAATTTCTCAAGGGTGCTCTCTGCATTCGACTCAACTGGTAGCACAGACGTGACTAGACGAACATCCGCACTAAACAATGAATACCGGAGACGTCTCCATCTACTTAATTAGTGCTTTGGTCTTCCTATACAAGTCTAGTGCCAGTTCCTACCCCGCAGAGATCGAGCTCTTATTCTATGTGCGAGATCAGCCAACAACTATGCGTTATATTTATTCCTGCCTATTATTTCTTCACTGCGAGGTATTGTGTGAAAAACATTTACTATCATGCTTAGATGTGAACAAAACTCGGAACCCCAAGCTTCGAAGTTCAGAGTGTCCTTTCCTGGGATTGACGTTTTAGCTACTGCACTACCGACGTCCTAAAAGCCCATATCTGAACATAGTGATTTCCATTATAGCTTAAATTCAGCAACGGCCTCGTTATGTTCGCCGTTTATCAAGATAATTTCAGTAGCATAATTTTTATTTCGCTCCATCTCTCCCATAACTGATTATTTTAGAGGAGATTCCTGTAGCATGCTAAGTGTACTGTAGAATTTCAGGGTCTTTCGTTCCATGAGGTCTCAGTTAACGAAGCCGCTGCTCAACTATGTCTTATCATGCCGTCACTGCTAACCAGACGCGACGAATTATTTCCGCTAGCGCGGCAGGTACCGTATCTTATTCGTTTTTAACACACGGTGAACATACGCGTTTATTTCAGTGCGTATTTTCTTGATTATCTATTCCTGCAAAAAACTGCCCGGCTGTTTTCCTATTCAATTGATAATTTCTATAAAACGGTTGTTTTTTTTACACGAGTCGTTATCACACCCATTGTGCGGATACTAGCACTTTTTGTGTTCGATTCGTTTTGCTTGCACTCATCGTCCAGAAAGATCTTCGAACAATTCTCATATTATTTCGGCTTCTAAGGCGTTTATGCGAGGATTGGAAAAGAGTGATGGGCTGGATTTCGAACCAGCACCTTGCCTGTTAGCGTGGGACTTCATCACTAACCACTTCGCTTACCTCTCCACTCCAAACAGATATTATAAAAGTAATGTTATGCACTGTCTACGAAGGGCTATTCGCTACGCTTGAAAATTACAAAACACCTTTTTTCGGACATCATTTTTAGTGTAAATTTCGCGCTGCCAAGAGCCAGGGGCAATTCCAAGTGGGAGCCACACGAAATTTGGCGTAATCGCGCACATATTAAACCTAGCGATGGTTATAATGGAGTAAAACTTGAAGCTCGCTGAAAATTCGAACTTTTGAAATAGCTTATTCAGTAACAATGTTGTAGTCGAGTGAAGTCGAGTAAATCGCCAGAGTTTTTTCTATAGTCGATATTTTCTGGACTTTCATAGTGTTCGAAATCTAAACGTTTGTGATCATTCGCGTTTTTTCGAATCGATGATAAATTGGAATGAAATTGGCCGAAGAATTATTAATAACCAGTTATTTGCAGATATTATGATCTACCAGTGGGAAACAAATAAAGGGTATTAAATGATTTTTTTTTACTTTTACTTTAGTTCTTATGAGACGGCATGAGAGATACTGCGTGGATCGCAGCACTACTTGAATTCACTTCGGTTTTCCCCGTCTCTCGCCTAGATTCACAAATTTTTGCATAGTTTTTACCGCTGATTGAGGTTTCCTTTGTTATTTTTTATGAGTTTTTTGTGAACTCATTAGTGCTGGGCAACATTCTCGGATCCTGGAATAGTCGTGTTAGAGCGTTTCTGCGTTGATTTGAAGGAGTAGTGAGATGTGCCCAGACCATCACTGATACCAGTTCCCAGGTCTGGTGAGATGCAATACTCAGACGACCTGGTGCTTGATAGAACCAGAATCCTCTGCTTTTTGAACGGCATCGCTACCACTACTTGGGCCCCGTTAATCAGTCTACAGTCAGAAACGTGATGTCATAATTTGTTGTTCAGATCAAGTATTGAAAAATTTTATACCCTAACCATTTTTACGGTAGAAAATCACTGTTTTAAATGTTGCAAGAATATGTTTGCCGACTTCTACCTAACTATTAGTATTTTATTATTTACTTAGGTTGTGAAGGATGCTGGATATCACTATGCTAAAGCGAGTCGTAAACGAGGCCTTGATCATATTGATTCACATTCACCACAAAGTAGTCCAACTTACAGGTAAGCAATAATTACCACATTAATAGGATTTTGAGAAGTGTTGAAAGTTTTGCAATTTCATCTCCATTTGAAATACTATTTTCTTACAGCTTCATTTTACCTCAAAAGGATCAAAATTATCCAACTAGAGATGGATTCGGTTCATCACTTAGTTAATGAGCCATCTATACTGTTTGAGTACGGCTGCCACTTGAAGGCACAATGACTTATTGAATAATGTTCGAGTGATAACTCAAAAAACCGACTTTCTGTAAACCTCGGCATAAATAATCGATATGTTTATTTATATGTTCTTAAGAACTGCCTTATTGAGCTGATGTGAAGTTTTGAAGTTGTCTTTGTTTCCACTCGCAATATTGCTGCTCTGAGGAAGACGAAATCGCCGAAACGTCAGCCATCAAACAACAACAACATTAACAACAACAACAACAACAACAACAACAACAACGACAACACAGCAACAAAGATAACAACAACAACAACAACAAAGACAACAATAACAAGGGCAACGACACCCTATATCAACCTTGCACCAGCTCAACAACAAAGGTAGTTCGTAAGCACATATAAAAAAGTACGAGCGACAATTGCATAACTCTTCCTAAGATTGTAAGACAGCTCTGCTCTCCCAGAGTTTCGTTACAAGCAGTCCTTTACGGACAGGCAGACGATTCTCCTGCTTAATTTTGATACCGCTTTGTCGATGCTGGAGGACTTGGTTCGCATTGCTCGTTGTTGAACCAGCGACCATATGTGTACCATCAGCCATCTCAGGCCAGTTCATTTCCTGCGCCTATATATATATATATATATATATATATATATATATATATATATATGTATATATATATGTATATATATATGTATATATATATATTTTATGCATGTCTTAACGTCTGTTACGGCGGATACCAGCACTTCTCACATTCGATTCGTTTCCTCACATCTTTCACCCACGAAGCTCTTCCAACTTTTACATACGGTTTTTCTGTTTCTTTTGGATTTTAATTTCATCTTGCATGTCGTAGGGTGCTGGTCGAGTCGATTCTCACTGGAGTCCTACGATGGCCGGGCTCGATCCTTTCCAGTTGGATTGCGGAGAGTCATTTTTTTCTGGGCAATTCCGGCACCAATTTCCCTACCTCGAATGGATGGGAGGCTTGATGAGCTTGGGACGGATCGAACCAGCACCGTGCTCGTGATGATCGGCATCCTACCTACCACTATGCTATCCACCACTATGTGTATATGTTTATATATATGCGCATATATGTATATATACATGTGTAAAATGTAAAAAAATGACTGACATATATACATGTTAATCATTCTTTTTGTGTTTTACACGATACGCCTTCACATCTATTCCGTGGTTCCCAGCGCTTCTTGCATTCAATTCGTTTCATCGCATCGATCGTCAACGAATGCCTTCGAACATTTCGTGTGTTGGACTGCCTACTGCTTGAGGATTGTCATCTTCTTTAAAAACGTCGTTGAATGCTGGTTCAGTCGATTCTTCTTTAGAGTTATGAAACAACCAGGTCGGAGTGTACCCAACTTGATTACAGGGAGTGAACTGTTCCCAGACCAGTCTAGTAGCAGTTTCCCAACCCCCGAGGATTGATAGGTGTGCTGAGCCCGGAACATATATATATATACATATATATATATATATACATATATATATATGTATATATATAAGTTTAGGTTAACGAGTAAAAATGCTGTTAGCATAAGACTTTGGTCTATGTGGGTTTGAGTATTAAATGTTTTAGCCCGTGTCTTGGCGACGATAATGACGTAGATGTGGATAGTGTGTTCGGATCGTCGACAGTGAAGCAGTCTGACGAGAAAAGAAAAAAATCTGATACAGTAAGCATTTTTTGCAACAATAAAACTTTTTCTTGTCAAATTTTTTAGAAGCGTTTTGCGTACCTGCCTTGTGTGAGTTGCTTGAAGTTCGCACTTACATTTTTCGTGGGTGCAGTGAAATCTCCTACAATTTTTTTCAGGTTTCGACTCCAAAGGTGGCTTTTAGCTAATAGATGCTTCTAATTTTCTGTTAAATTCAGGACTTGGGAAACTAAAAATTTGCTATATTTATAGAGGAGACGAGAATAAATATGATTTCTTAAGAAATGCGATTTAAATTTTAAGGTCTCCTAGACCCAGGTTTGCCCGAGAATCAAATGAAAAGTCTTGTTTTTAAAAAGCACTAAACTTGACAACTAGAAATGTACTTAATTTAGAATGGATGCGAAAACCTTATCGTGCTATGCTAATAGAGCGAAATCCTTCTTGTCCAACCGTGCCATGTTCGAGATATAATATGAGACTTAATGAAAAGACAGAAATACAGTGTCTGGCTCACATAACACTAGGACTTCGTTTTAATGAACTTATTGACAAAAACTTGCAGATTGTAATGGGTTTTATTTTAGCCATTAAACTTTACGATGAGCAAAGATACTCACGTGGATGCTTTGATGCCACGCCATTACTGGTTCTGCGGGCCCCAGCGTGATTTCCATTCGCTTCGCTCTGACCCATTCGTCGCCCATGGCCGTCGTCTGCTTCGAACGTGCTGACGACAATGACGCTACTCTTATCCGTTGTCCTGAAAAATCGATTTTATCTGCGAATGCAGATAGTTAGCGACGAAGACGCCCACCGTTTGGATGTTTTTCTGAGAGGACGCTTGCGTTCTTTTGGAGTCCAATCCATTCCTTTTTTGTCCATCTGTCATCATTTCCCTCTATTGTGTGACCGGCCCATCTGTGTTTCGGTATTTATGTATATTCGCTGCTTCATTGGTGCTCCTCGAAAAGATGACGATGTCGTGCGCACAATTAAGATTTGATAGGAATTTTTCGTCGATACGTATGCCTTTCTCATTCCATTTGAGTGACTTCATTATCCTTTGCTGGGCGACAGTAAGCAGCTTTAGTGATGTTGTGTTGTCTTGTTCAACCCCTTCTTGTATTTGTATGGTGAGTAGTCGATGAAAAAGCTGTATATTTATGGTGCTGCTATTTCAAAAAGACTCTGTTGGTTGTTCGTATGTTGGCCGGGTCCACTCCTTGATCGACGGCACTAGAATGTAGTCGTTTCGACACTATCAAACGCTTTCTGTTAGTCGATATAGTTTAGGGCAAAGGGCAGATGGTAATTCCGACAGATTTATACGACTCGTTATACGGTTTATAGGCAGTCCATGCAGCAGAACCTCCTTCGGAGTCTTGCTTTTTCAAATAGTTGTGCTTCATCCGAGGCCTTCGATATGCCAAAAGGATTGTCTTCGTAAGCAGCTTGTAGAGCACACTCAACAAGCATATCGAGAAATAGGAAGATTCCCTCGGTCACCCTTCTTGGATTGGATTATCGTGTGCGAGGTCCTCCGCTAGTCTGCGATTTCCTCTTTCTGAAGGTAAGATATCATGTGGATTACGAAAAGTATGCCTAATTTGTAGTCTCCAGAGCTAAGGAAATTGGCATTGATTTTATCGGCTGCTGAAGCTGTGCTTCTCCTCATGCTTTCTATCCAACTCAAACTTCAGAGGGTATAATCTCGCGCAGTTTTTCATGTGCCGAGATTTCAGAGCCGAAAACGGGGTGGTGAAAAGGCAAAAATTGATGCAACAGTTCTTCGTTGTCAATTCCATCTCACGCCGTGCTATGATCATAGTGCCACGTTCGTTCATAAGGGCTGATAGTGGAGTACTGCAATTGAGCCATTCCAGCTAGCAAGCTGTTTTCGATAACTTTTCTGCCCATACCGATGCAAACGCTATTGCAGTGATTTTCTACCGCTGGCATTTATTACCAGCCGTGTTAGGTGTGTTTCAATAGGGCCACGCTTCGGTTTCGTTCTCTTCCTAAACAACTTTTTAGTGTTAATGCACATGTGGTCTGAGCTTCTTGTTTCAGAAGCTGAAGCTAGTTTAGATGAGCTGAAATGTATTGTTTTAAAATGGAAAAAGGCCGCCATTTTCGCACAGTATGCGTTGAAACCAAGTCACATCCGATTCAAAGTATTACTGATGTTTCATAAGAGGAAAACATCTTCCTAATAAACCCCTTTAAAGGAATACCGCATCATAACTGTAAGTTCTCAATTCTATTGGTAAGCTTCCCACCTCTTCCATACGCCAGTGGGTTACTGCCTTGGACGCGTAATCATGGCGGACATGGGTGTTACTGGGTGTTGAACTGCGATGGACAGCCAGGTTTCCCAAGCCGAGAAAGAACCTGTTCCAACCATAATCGATTCCCAAGTTATTGAAGGATAGAAATTAGTAACAATTAAGTGCATATCAATCGGGAAATTTAGATCATTCAAATAATCATATAATGAAAGTATCAGCTGCCTTTGTACTATGGTAGTCTCAGTCTATTCATTTAATTCACTCTGTTTTTAATATGCCAGGTATTTTTTTATTTGTAGTGTGTTGGATCTGGAATGTTATAATTTGCAAGTTTTCCACTTTCTTCTCCCTTTTTTCGCGTTCTTCCAACGGTTTACCGCCTCATCGCGACTGGGAGGTGGCCTGGGTGTCGGACTGCCATGTACAGCATGGGATTCATTGCCTAGCAGAGTCTCCCAAGCTGAGGAGTCCGGCGTTTCCATCAGGAAGCCTAGCTAAGAGTAAACCAATACATGGTCCACCACCGTCTTGGTATCAAAGTCGCATGGTGGCAAATCTCCTTCTGATCCACAAGGGCTGCGACTGCCTATGGTCGTGAAAACCTGGGGCAGACTTTAGCCAAGCTGACTTCGGGATTCCAGGAAACCGCAATGGCTTAACCAGCAAATCTCCCAAAAATGGAGATTATGCTGGAGCCGGCAGAACTAATGAGGACGGGGCATTCAAGTATCAAGTATCAAGCTTTTCGCGTCAAACCTTCATCGATTTTTTTTAGACTCCATTTATCTGTAGTAAAATTTGGCCTTGTTGTTCATATTATACAAATCCTTAACTTTTTCATGGTTTATTTTTAGTGAAATTTAGTAATGGTGTTATCAATTACTCATCATTTGTTTTTTAGCATATTTTAATGCGTTATTTAATAAATAAATATGAAGTCGAACAATGATTTGCTTTCATCAAATTTTCGAAACTTGATAACATCCTCATATACTCCTTCATCACTAAAAAGATACGTATTGATTGATCGTTGCTGTGGACATCGCAGCGACGTGCGCGTCGTTGGCCTCGAGTAATCAATACGCATTTTTCCAAAAGCCCGTCCTTCTGTTGATGATAGTAATGTAAACGCTTCTCGCTTGTTTTGCAGACTCAACCTCATTTGTTTTTTTTTAACTTCCGTCTAATGTATTCTCAGTATTCAGGCACAAGAGAAAGGAACATATCTCGAGCGTTGGGCGAGTTCGATGCTCGCATCGCAGCAGTCTACATTTGACTCTCCCAGAGGCACACAGTGATACGATATCATACCTTACCTTTTTATCACCCAATCGTTAGTCGTTGTTCTAATCGTTTATTGTATTTAATATAAAATATAAGAAAAGCAACAACAACAGCAACAAATAACAGCAGGCGGAAATTTTTTGATGGTTTCGATAACCCATGCTTTTTGTTGCCGGTGGTCGGCGGCTTTATCTATGTGTCGGTCTGTCCATTTGTTTTCTACGGTTCATTACTGAGTTTTGCAAACTGTAAGCCAAAGTAATCCAATATTATTGATTGATTGACATGTAAATTTTATACATATGTTTTTTCTTGATTTTCTTTCGAATGATGTCATGTTGTGATACTATTAACTGTGCTCTAGTCCAGTGTAATGTTTTAGAAATATTTATTAGGTTATTATCACCAGTGTAAGTCATGTGACCACAACGATGAATTCTCAGCATCTGATTTACCGTAATCTGCATATAACCTGCATGTTACAGTAGACGTTCTGCTATCGAGTTAGGCATTAATTTCTTTTTTCTCACCCATCCATTGTTGAGAATTCGACAGTAAGATGCAATACTCGTTTAACATGTAGTCCTTTTTTCTTGTCTACTTCTCCCTTCGCTCTTTTTCTTATTCTTTTTCGTTATCTTTCCATTTGTGTATAGAGCAGGAATCATCAAACAGAGAAGAGTGTTAGAAGGAAAGAAACCCCGAACATATCCATCGTGTCAACGTTGTATTGATGAGCGGAACCGATGCACGAAACCACATCGGTGGCTCCGCCTTAATAACTGCACCGCATAGCGTCTGACTGTCTGTGATGATCAGCGCCATGAAATTCGTCAAAATTGTTAGGAGTTTCGTTCTATCTGTTCTTTTTTCATGTTTCTCATCGTGATCTTACTGCCAAAACTCTCTAGGACGAAGTCTTTACGCTGATCACTTGACAGTTGGGTCCGAAAGAAATCAATAATCTGATCTTTGAGATCAATATTGAATTTTTCACATTTGTATAGCAAGCGTTCGTCTCTCTGTATGACATTGTTCTTATCAGAATCAATTGCGTTCTTGTTTGTTAATCAAATACCCGAATTTGAAAAAAAAGCGGGAAGTTCATATGATGAACTCAAATTCGATGTGCTTCTATACTTGAGATAAAGACTATCGACAAAAGATGTTTTGAACATTTTATTATCTAAAAAGCATCAGTTAGCTTCTTTTAGTTAATGGTTGATTAACTTGTGAAATCCGGGCTAACCGGGAACGGCTCAGTTTGCTGTCGACGACCGCGTTGCTGCGATGGAGTTGTAGCAGAACAATCGCTCGACACACGGCCAACTGAAAGTATTATTGAAATGATAGATATAATAGATAGAGACTGGTAAATTTTATTGTGTTGATATAGGACGGCGAAGAAGACAGAAATAGTCAAACAAGTTATCGCATCATGAGGTAGGTTTTTCTGCTGTGGTGGCAAGAACTGGAACGAGATCTTGTTGCAACACAAAGAACTACAGTTACTATCGTGAAGACAGAACGGAAAGAATAAAGCAATTGATTTTGACTGATTCTTTAAAAATTCGTGGTGAATTTGACTCTATTCGTAGCACCGTAGAGGCGACTTGATGCATAGCTATGCCTAGAAAATATCTTGTAAGAGACTACTGAGGTATCGAATCAATTCCTTTGCGCTCTCAACAAGTCCGGTAAAATTTTCAGGTCGAAGACTGGTAAATGGCCCAGACTGCGACAGATCGAATTAAACCCATGGGTAGAGTAGAGTGAAACAGCCCCTAATCACTGCGCTTCAAGCACCTCTAATAAAAATGATACCCATTAGACCTTATGCACTTTTGTCAACGAGGTAAAAAAATTTATTGGCCTTGATAAAACAGAATTTTTATGCTCTAAAATAGATAAGTTCTTCGGAGAATCCTCAGTAACCGTTAACCTATCATGTACACTATGCTACACTTGGTCCGAAAGTGCATTTGCCGCCTCAAGCAGGTTAACCTTTTTGTGCCTGAAAACTTGTTTAGTCTACGAGAACGGAATTAAATGGAGAAATTAAAAGGTGATTTGAGTAGGTGTTTTCCTAAGGCTCTACATGTGCCACCTGAAACACACGAGACACAACATTAGCAATGTATTTCATCAGCAACTCGTTGCCCATTTTTACCACGCAGTTTTCGTTTCGAGGGTATCGTGTTGGAGCTAAAAAATTTGAAAACACGACTGCGACTGGGGTGGGTGGGGCTGTTGTTAGCACTGAGAAACAGCTTGAGAGCTTACCGAAAAACCTACGCGTAATTTGACAATTTCGCAGTCCCTCTAACTATAATAGAAGTCATGAACCTTTGTCTTAGGTGAGTTTGTTATGCATTGAAAAGGTACCAAAACACCGTTGTTTTAAAAAAAATTTTTTTTTCTTGCGGGCTTCTTAAAAACGGTGCATTCGGATCACCTTGTTCATTCGGCTAAATATAACCTACTCGACCATGTTTTGGAGGAGTTGCATTGAAAGCCTGTGGTTTGAATTTTGTGTGGCTACGAAAATGGAGTCGTTAATTAGGGCCTTTCACGCCTACATCAGTTAACGACAAAAGAAAAGTGTTGTCAGAGATTAATAATCTGCACAAAACTGAAACCTCTCCGAAACCTTGGTTAATGAGAAGGGAAAACTTTTCATCTCTCCATACACACCAGCTTGCAACTCACGCTTCGCAAAGGAAACATTGAAAATTTTGAGACAATTTTCTAAAAACAGAAGTGTGCAATATCCAGCATTATTGCTGTGCCTCTCCTCAACGTATGGTCTTGTTTTTAAACGTCTCAATGCTACTGCAGATAGTGGGAAAATCAGCAACTTGATGATACTGCTATCATCAAAACACTTGTAGGCTTTCGAAGCCAAAAGGAATTTTACTTTAATAAAATAAAAGAACGTGTATAGCTTTGGTTAAGCATAGTGAGTCTAATGGCCCTTGTTCCTTTTCCAAAAGTTGCTGTAGACTAACAATGGCAACTGGTGAATAAGCTGCAGGACTGCTTGATCCCTGTTCTTAGCAGTGAAATTTCAAAGCCATAAGAAGCTTTACAAGGATTTTCTAGATGAACGGTTGTGAAATCTACTTTTTTAGATCTGGAAACATCTACAAATGGCCGATGTTTTTTTTCTTACCGATACTGTTCATGATTTAAACAACAATTGCAATGGCAACTGGTTGTTTAACCAAAGTGTTTTTGTAATCATTATATCACTACCCACTTCTCATTATCATCGCAAAGAGAGTGATACCAACTTTTACGAATTTTTTGGAAAGAAAGGAATTAAGAACCTCATATCTGCATGTTTGAAAGCTGAATGCAATTTGTCCGTGGTTTCCATTTTCTGTAATTTTATTGCCAATACGGTGTCCGCCTAAATGAAACTGATCAATATTTTCTGGAAGGATATCAAAAAATGATGAGAACTGCAGTGATGGCGACTCCTTGGATTTTTCTTTCTTATGACGACAACGAGGTACTATTGAAAAATAACACTTAAAATGTGAAAAAACGCCGTAGAAAATAACCGTTCTGCTCTGAATGACGAAGAATTCTGTGGCCGCTTACATGTCTGTCTTTAAAAGTATTTCTGGATTCTTATACCATATTATGGAACTGACAACGTTAACAACGACTGAGCAGTTTTGAATTCGTTTCCCCAAAAGTCTTAAACGATTTGATCAAAAAAAGTTGCTGTGAAATAAAATCGTCAGAATCGAATACAATCTGATAACTGGTTTTGAGAAGAGGAAGAAGCATAAAAACGACTGACGTTTCGTGAGATCGTTCACGAACACGTTCCTTTACATTACTTTAATTGGTGATATTTATTTGTGAAAAGAACCTACGATTCGCTCAGTGTCGTGGCAGCATCGCCAGTGAACACTTGCGAACTCGTCCAAACGCCATGCTTGACAATATTCTCTGGAATACCTTTCTTCCTCTCTATTTTTTTTCTCTGCAAAATTTTTTAAACGGATTTGAAGTTATGGAAATCTGTTGCGTTGTTTTGTAGTTGAACTGAACTTTCTCACGATTTTTGCCTTAAGACCACAAGACAGACAGCTTTTATAACAGCTTCAATCTATTTTATATGCATGCTACCTAATATTGCTTTTAAGGTGACATTTATTTTAGCACTTTTCTTCTCATCTCGATGTATTGCTACCGTCATCTTCAAGGGTCACTTCGAATTACCATGCGCATTCGGCTATAACTTAAGGACAGAGTTCCTTTCTTTTTCGGACAATTAATCTTTCCTCATTCATACACTGAATGATGGTCGAGTCTGATTGATTCCTCAGATCGCTGCTCTAGAGTATTCTCAATTTTTTGGGCTGTTAGCGATTGTTATAACACAACGAATCCGGCAAGTACGTGACCGACTGTTTGGAAATAGAATAGGAAGGCGAATCCGTATTTGACTTGTATTAATTGCTTTTTATGAATTTTACCTAACAATTGAATTCAGAACTAAACAAAATCTAACTTGTGCTTGCTTAACTCTGGTCTAACTTAACGTATGGATTATCTTGTATTATATGTGCCATATAAACTACTTTACTTCGATTAGGGGAACATCCGGCGATTCAACGAAAAATGGACAGGAGAGCGAACAATACTATAGTCTTCACAATCAACTGTTAGAACAACGTAGGAAAAAATGGGTAAACTTACATGCATAATGAAATCGATTATCTTCTAATAGCATAAATAAAATAAGAAGCATAAAGCTCTCGCCGTGGATCAATCTTTTTGGGATGCGCCGTGTATTCGACTTCATTAAGCATCGTTTGGAGCTGATTGAATGCATGTTTGACCTTTACAATGACTAGCGGTGACCTACCGATGTATCGAGCCAGTGCTGCTATCCTCCCAGACAAGTCTGGTACTAATTTGCTGACCCCGGAGGGATGGAGGGCTTGGTGGGTCATGGGCGCGGAGATCGATTCCACGTGTGTGTTGCAGGACACCTCCGACCACTGAGCCACACGCGCCCTTCTTCTAATAAGATGCGACTTTCAATTATTCTATTGTTTCCATTATTTTTATTTCCTTATGGATTGGAGTGAACAAGAAGACAAGAAGCACATCAATGACGTGCCACGCCAATGATGAACATCTGTCGTCGAACTATTTTCATTTCTCAGTGAAAAAGGCCGAAAATGAAAATGATGTCGATCACAAACGAGAAATAGGAAACTTTAGGAAAAAAGCACGTTTTCCTAAATGGCATGCAAAGTGGACTTTGGTGCATCTAATAGAACATTAAAGTTATCTATCATTCCACTCCATATCTATCAGCACCGCCTTCCATTGCTTTTTTTCCACCGATCATCTACTTCATTACACACTTTGACTTCTCACAACATTAGAGGCTAAAATTTACCTTTCGTTGAAAAATCGGTCGAGAAGTCGACAAATCTACCTTTTTGCTGCTTTTTCATGAAAAACTCTTACATTGTTTCAGATGCTGCTTCTTGTTTCCGTACTTATTGCCAGTGGTGAGGCTTTAAAAGCAATCGATAAGGTGAGAAATACGAAGAACACTTTGTTTCGTTGATGAACTAACATGAGGTTGATACTATATATTTATTCGAGTATAGGTTCAACTTCTTCGTCTTCCCCAGAGCCGTTGATACGAGTCGATGGTCCACAGTCGTATTGTTCGGTGACAATAACTTGCTTTATCCGACTCCGAGGACAAAGACACTACATTGAGCGTGCGACAGACTGTGAACTTCGACTCGGATCGTCGACTTTGAAAAAGACGAAGAAGTCGAAATGTTAGTCGAATAAATATTTGGTGGCAACCTCGTGTTAGCTTATCATTGAAACAAGGTACATTGATCATTGATACCGAGATTAAATGAAAGTCAATGAATGATTACTGAATGACACGAAGAATAATTACTTCAAGTAAGCAAGTTCTGACACTTGAGCGGTCCGTCCTCAGTGGTTGTGCGGGTCCCAGCATAATCACCATTTTTTGGAGATTTGCTGGCTAAACCATTGTGGTTCCCGGGAAACCCGAGGTCAGCCTGGCCAAAGTCTGCCTCAGGTCTTCACCACCACAGGCAGCCGTAGCCCTCGTGGATCGGAAGGAGATTTGCCACCATGCGACTTTGACACCAGGACGGTGGTGAATCCTGGTATTGCTTTGCTCTTAGCTAGGCTTTTTGATGCAAGTGCTGGACTCCTTCTCAGCTTGGGAAACCCTGCCGGAGGGACCAATCCCCCGTTGTACGTCACAGTCCGGCACCCAGGAACGCCTCCCAGCCACGATGAGGCGGTAAGCCGTTGGGAGGATACGGAGAACAATGTTCTCAAAAGACAACAAACAGTTAAAATCACGAATGAACTTATTATTTTGCAAAAAAGTAATCTTATTAAACTTCACACGCCACTATGTTAAAAAGAGTTTTCTTTTTCTTTTTGAAGATAGCTATATTTTTAATTAAAAACTTTTCACCAAGAAAACCCTTTCGTTTGACATTCCTTATACATTTGCTGGTAATAAAGGTTTCTGTCGGACTGGTTTGCTTAATTGGTCGTACAATTTTACTACTTTACACCCTCCGTTGGATTCTGTACATTCTGCTGTGTTACTTTGCAGATTGTTAATTGCTCATTGAGTGCAGGTGGTTCGTTCCGTGGTGGCGTCGCTGAGAAGCTAAGAAGGAATATGCCATTTCGCTCTCTTCCTCGGAACCCATAGGTCTTTCCTCGTAAAAATGAGTTAGACTTTTTTGACTAAACTGATGTAAGTTCCTCAACCAATGACCTTCTACGTTTAACATCTACTACTAGCCGTGTCCGCTTTAGCTGCGTTGCAGCAGTTTTTTTTTCGGTTATCTTCTCTTTTTAGGAAACTGTTTATGGCGATGATGCAATAAGATCTTGGAGCATTGGGCTTAACTAATACGGCTTTTATGCACTCCGATGGGCTGTCGACAGCCTTTGGTTAAGCACTTTCCAATCTGCTGGTAGTGCACGGAAAAAAGCCAGTTCAAAATATCTTCTTTCTTCACAGGTGATAATATCCCTGCGTGTCGTTTGCTTATTTTGGTGTTCTGGGCGACGGTTGAAAAAGTGAAGTGAATGAAAGAAGTTTAGAACCACTGGGATATGTGAATATTGTCTATATAAGTAACATTCCTTTTCCGTTTTCTTCCTTGTATAACGGTGAAGTCCAATTTGATTCGACGTGCTGCCTCAAGAACGGTGTGAACTTATCACAAAGTGCCGTTGTTGAGCTGATACGAGGTTGGCATAAGTTGTCGTTGTCTTCGTTGTTGTTGCTGTGGTTGCATGACTGACGTTTCGTCGACTTCGCCTTCCTCAGAGTCTGGACGTATTTTATGTGACGATATACATATAATTCTGTGAACTATCTGTAGTGCTAATGGAAATCTAATATACTTACCTTCTTGCTAGGTGTGGGACTATCCTGTGCTGATCAGGAGGGATGACAAATGGAGCACACCTAGATCAAAAGGTGTGAAGATCGACATGTTAGAGGATGTACGTATGACAATGTAGATGCAAATCGAAAACGCTAGCATGGAATGTGATCGACTGCTACCATGATTCGGTTTTAGTGATCTACTTAAGATGCACGGATTACGACTGAGTTATTAATGCTGCTTATAAATGGTAATAGTGGACCCAATGCCTCCATGTTTGAGCATTTTCAGTTCTTCGCTGAGATCTATCTTATGGATGTCGTGGAATGCTAGTCGAGTCGAATATCCTTGCAGTCCCGGAGATAACCGAACTAAGGCGTTCCCACTTGAATTTGCTTAAAGCATTGGGAAAGGTCGAACCAGCACCTTGATTTCTGACAGTCTGCATCACTAACCACTGTTCGTTTTCATCATGGAAGTAGATCAAAAACCTTGGGTGTCAACTATTTATGAACAAATCCGTTCTCTTTCAGCCAGTTTTGAATACTTTACGAGAATTTAGTGTTAGTTGTTAGTATCGTTTGTAAGACTAATCTAATCTTTAATATACACACTAATATTCAAAACTAATATAAGCAGTAAGACTTCACGAAAGAATAAGAAAAATTACGAAAGAGGAAACAAACGAAGTCATAAAAGAATGAAAATGCAGATGCGGCAGCCATACCGTAATGTTCAAAGGCGCTATTTACGAAATTGTATTGATCTTAAATTCGTCATATTTCTTTCTCAGCAGTCGCGAGGTTGCTACACAGCATACGTTAACTTCCGTACAATAACAGACATACAACAAAACCGTAGCTGACGTTTCGGTAGAATTGCCTTCTTGGCCGAAACAAAATCCCGTTTGTCTTTCCCTTTATTAGCGACGAAATAAATGTAGCGATAAAGCAATGCTTAAAGGGCAGATCTAGAGGAATCGGTAGCGATAGTTGAAATACGACCAAATACTCTCCGTCGTCAGTTAGTTCGTAACCACCTATACGACCGTCTACGTGAAACACCGCATGAGTTCAGGTACGATATACCTGATCTCTTGTGATGTCTGCGGAAGCGAATATATTGGCGAAACGGGCAGACTATTATGTATCCGCATAAAAAAGCACCTAGACGGCAAACGAAAAGCAAGACAAAGTACCCCACTAGGGACACAGGATACCAAAGCATAGCGGAGACGATTTTGGTATAAAAGTCACTATCCTCGCACAAGATGCCTAAACACCAACGTGAAAACTCCTCGAGGCTTTTTGGATAAACGCCAAGAATCCCACAATAAATAGCAGGGAGGAATGCCCCTAGATCACGCGTGATCTTGCCTGGTACCTTCGTATCGATCGCCAATGTGTGGAGGCGCAGTCGCCAACCATATGCGACTCTGAACGGCTGTTCTTCTTCGGTGGAAGATATGTGAAAAGCGGTGGGTTTTTCGAGAAGCCGTTGATCTTGTAATTATCGATCAGGTTCATATTTCTGTTTGTTCTCTTGAAGCGTTTGACCTACCAAGCTACGTATTAGTGTACCTTTCCAAACTCTGAAGAAGGTGATTCTGCCGAAACGTCAGCTGCGATTGTGGTGTATGTGTGTTATTGCATGGAAGTAAACGTCTGCTGCTTAACAACCTTGCGATTGCTGCGAAAGAAAAGACGAATTTATAATCCAATGCCGATGTTAATAGATAGGATCCTGGGAACTATTACAAGATGTAACTTCTATAATGCTGAGATAATTGCAAAGCTCCGGACCACAGGTTTTTGCTGTGGGGAACGAGCGCGCTATTATCCCTTCCGGGAAGTAACACATTCACCACCACACCATGCGGGTCTCTTCGTTTCGCCTGTCTCTCAGCTAGTTCTATCGATCACTTGCCATTAGCAATTACCCGTCAACGGCATTCATAGAACTAGCTGAGAAACAGGCGAAACGAAGGACCCGCATGGTGTGGTGGTGAATGCGTTACTCCCCGGAAAGGATAATAGCGCGTTCGTTCCTCACAGCAGACACCTGCGGTCCGGAGTTTTGCAAATATCCCAGCATCATTAAAGTTATATTTCGCAATATATACTCTGCCATTAAAAAGAATAGGCAGTAAATAAAAAGGTTAAGATTATTCCAAGATGTATTGATTTTTTCTAATTCTATGTGATAAATTTATGAAGACATCATAACAACAAAGGAATTTCAATCTTAAGAAAAATGGAGTTATTTCCAGAACAAATAGTCGCTACTTTACCTCTCTCTGCACAACAGCAGGTTTTTTAATGTTTTAGAAGTGACAAAAGCTGTTTATGGATTAGCACCATATTCAGCTTCTAACTATCAAATTCGGTCGAGCGATAGTTTTTATTTTTTAGAAAATTTCCAAAAAGCTTTCAAAAATGGTTGAATGCAAGCGGCACCCATTCAGGCTGCTTTCTGAATGAATGGGAGGGTAAGAAATGGATGGAGAAGCCACATAAAGCGGTGAAAAAATTGAAAAATGACGTTAAAAACTGGCAAACTCAGAGCCTTTATGGAGAAAGGAATTTTAGGTGACCGAAAGCGCAATGCAAGTGATCGCCTACGCCCATCTTGGTTCGACAATTCGTCAATGTTCGTGTGCTGAAGACAGAGAATGTGTGAAATCCATGGAAGAACAGGTAGAGGAGGGACTTACTATCACCGTTTCTGTGGTCTGAGCTAAAATACTGTGCCGATTCCAGCACTAATTTTATTTCGTTCGCTGTCTCCAATTCGTCATACACGAAGGCCTCTGAATTGACGTGTTAGTTTTGCTTCCACTTAAGAACATTGCCGTCTTCTTTAACGTCGCACAATATTTGTCTAATTGATTACTATTGAGATCTGGGTTTGCACTATAAGAAGTTTCACAGCTTCTCAACGCGGAGGCAGCCTCCCTTTTCGATCGTATCAGTTTTGCGCGAACAATTCCTTTTACAACTTGTCGTCTTCGGAGAGACAGGAGGAGGGGATCTTGGTCTGGGTCGTTGTAAAACCAAGCTCTACATCTCTCCATGGTCGGGTAAATTGATAGCAGACAACAAGGATGCTAAGGTATAAGCAAAGCTCAAAAGCAAAATTCAAAACCCCAGATGCGTTTCGAATCCATTATTATCGATTATACGACTGCGGCCCCAGCGTAACCCTTTCACGACCATTTGTCACTGGGGAGAAATTGAGATATGCATTGAGATGGAAGTATGCGGTACGTTAGCGCGCTCAAGAGGCGTGACGCACTGGTTTCTTGAGATTATCGTTCTATTATTCGATTCCATCACATTTTTCCATGTCAATCTAACATCTACAATCTGCTATGTCGTTCTGTTCCCGTGATCTCGGACACCTCTTTGGTGTGATCTAACTAGTGACGAAAAAAGTCGTCCATTAGCTAGCCATGACATTATTAGCTTTCTGCATGGTTTTGTATGGAAGTCGAAGTGTACTTCTGTGTCTCTCTCATCTTTTTTTATATCTATCTACACATTTCACTGTCCGAAACCACTTCTTGCAAGTATAGGTGGGGGTAACTATCCATGCATCAACTCCAGTACAAAATCTGTGCTCGACAATCCATCGTTTGACTACAAACGGTTGGGAAGGTTTTATTTTATCTAAAAGTGAAGTATCTACTTGAAAATTTTAGAACGGAAGCAATTTCGGCAAGCTATGTGCATTAAATAGTGGTCAAATTATAAAAGGTTCAACCCTTTCACTACCACAGCCACTTTCTCGTGGGTGGCCCATCGGAGTGCCTGTCATTGGAGAGCCCTTGCAATGAAATCAAGATCTACGGTCACGAAAGGGTTACCCTGACTCAATGCTAATTTTTACTCTTTGTTTTCGCTCACGGTGGTAGCTGATTGCACTGATAGAGTGAAAAACTGGTTAAAAGGAAGGTAAAGCAGAGGCCTAGGTTGGGGCGGTGCGTAGCGTATGAGCTCCGACAAGTTTATTGGCGGGTTCGAAGCCCAACTGAGGTTCTGGATTTTATTCATATCTCAGCATACTTGTGGCCATACTGCACATAATTTTCAGCCATAAAAAGAACAGTTAGCAAATAAAAGTTTAAATACTGTAATATCAGATTTGTTTCGGAAAACCCGACACATCGGTAGGCCTCAACATGATCTCTAAGGATAAATATACCCTTAGTCTCCCTAGGGATGCTTAGAGGAGTCCCATGTCCATCTCTAAGGGATTGATAAAAGCATTCTTACTTTTGTTTACATTTACAAGATTCGTTTTTCATACCTACTGTACGGATTCCAGTACTTCTTGCACTCGATTCGTGTGCTCGAATCCATTTACTATGAAGCTCTTTCATTCTACGCGTGCGTCGGACTGCTAGAATTTTTTCATCGCCGTAACAAATGCCATTTGATGCTGTTCGAGTCGACTATCCTTGATGTCCTGAGTCAACTATGCTATGTCGTCCTCACGTGGATTGTAAAGAAGGCATTTTTACCAAACAAGTTTAGCTACAATTTCCTGACTCCGAAAGAAAGAGAAGCTTGGTGAAACGGTGTTGGGTCGAACCAGGACCGTTCTCGTGATGATCAACAACATTACCACCGCACTACTAGTTCCCGAAGGATTTCCCGCACTTTAAAAAGAGGATATGGAAAACATGCGTGCCAAAATGCAGTGATTCAATTGATGGCACAGAAAATATTTTTCTCTTAGTAATAATCTATCTTTCTGTTCCGTTTTTCTGCAGTACTACATTCTCATATTCACTCCTCAAGAAGGCAGGAAATTTTTTTCTTCTTTTATTAGTTGACACAATTTATTGGGGACTTCTAGAGGTTGAAATGGTTATGACTGTGCCATGTCGCAACATATAGGCCTTTGCGTTGCTGCAGCTTACCCAAGCACATCATTGGTAGCATAATAAACCATGTCAGTCTTTATATACTGGTCATGTTGACACAGCTCTTAGAGATATAGTGCAATGACACACGCATATCCTCCTTTTCGGACTTATTATGGGAAAAGCTCCATCCGTTCCACAGATCCCGGTGACCGCCTGTAATGAAGGCCCAAAGGTGCACTAGTAATACTGTCCTAGGATTCAATGAAGAAACAACTCGACAACACGACAAACATTCATCGACAATTTGTTGAAGAGACCAAAATATTCAAGCAGGGAGCCAACACACTGAACGTCGAAGACCTTGTGGATGACGAATGCAAGACAGCGAATCCAATCAAAGAACTATCGGGAGAGACCAGCAAAATATGCTATCGCATGCAATAATAGTTCTGTTGAGATATCAACCTATTCATCTTATAGCATTTTACATGCTGACTCACTTATGACTTTTTTTAAATTAACAAGCCACTTTTATTTTTATTTTTCAACTTCTTTGAATTTTTTGTCTACATGGCTAACAATTCTAGTATTACAGGCCTTGCAATGCTATAACAAATGTTGGCCTGTCTTCTCCCAGGTTGGTAGTGTGGTCTTCATTTCCATCTTCCTACCTCCTGTCTCTGTCTGAGTACCGTAATGCCATACATTACTTACAGATCACCAGTAATCCAGAGGCTCTTCGAAGATGTGCTTCTTCAAAAATGAGTACTCTCAGCAGTTTTATTCGCTGTCTTGGAACTAACCTTCGCAGGTACAGTGAAATAATGACCAGAGTCTTTTTCTTCAGATTTTTTCAAAAAAAAAAAATTAAAAGCGTTTTCCGTGGTTTCGATAATGAATTAATTTCAATGCATTCTCTTCCTTTTTTGGGGGAAATTAAGTGAAAACAGTGATATTTTTGTGAAATTTATAGAAGACAATCGAAAGCATTCGTATATCTGTATAAAGTCGGTCGTCTATGGAATAAAACATTATAATTCCAGCTGCGTGAAAACTGAGCGAGGACCGCAAATCCCTCAAGTGGATTTACGAAGGTTGTTCACCATTGGCGAGCAACAATTGAACGCCACCAGTGCAGAAGTGCTGAATAGCGATTTGATTGCTAATATACGGTACTGCATAGACGTCTTTTTTAAAATCACTTCATATTTCTTACAGTACTTTCTTGATTATTTGGATGGTTCGTCTTCGCAAAGAGTCGTGTAAGACCTGCTTACACCGCCAGTCAGAATGAGTCCTACGACTTCCAAATTCATTACAACAAGCACATACCTACCTTTGTGGATTTGACGAAGGTTTTGTATCTTGTGAGAAGCTTACTACCAGGATAGTGATGATGACGACAACGGTTTACAATTAGCTAGGTTTAGGTATAAACAAATGCTAACCCTATAAAATTATACGAAAATTAATTAATTCTGCTTTTCCTGAAATATCTTGGCCATAGATGCTTTCTTGGGTATCTACTACTATACATCATTACAACACTCATTTTCTGTACTTTAGCTCTCGTAATTGAATTACAATATAAGTTGTGCTTTTGACAAATGTTAGAGCTTGAAATTTCAAATATTAAAACGATACTTTCAACAAGTCCGCTGCTACAAATTCAAACTCGAAAGTGTTCGGCGAATAACGGCTCAGTGATTGGATAAAAATGTAGCTCTTCAGCACGCCTTAAGACGAAAACTGAACCGAGGCAAAGTTATGCTGACCGTTTTGCTCTCTGCACCAGGCTTGATCCATTACCGTTCCTGAACCCGGGCGGCACGTTGGCTTATCGACGAATTGCATCAGGAACTTCAACTACTGTTTCCCATTTTGCTCAACAGAAAGGAACCAGTCCTTTTCCACGGTAACGTGAGGCGTTCAATTAGCGTTGCAAAGGCTAAATTAGTTCGGCTACGAAACTCTGCCTCATCCACCATACACGCCAAAGCTTTCCTCTAACAACTGCTATTTTTTCACGCAGTTGACAATTTCCTGTGCGAGAAATGCTACAGAGACAAGAGAAGATTGCAGCTTCCTTCAGTGACTTCATTGCCTCCAAAAGACCAGATTTCTTAGCAACTGCTATAAATAAGCTGGTTCCTCTTTGGCAAAAAATTGCAGATTCAAATGTTTTTATTTTCACTAATTAAGGCCATTTTGAGCTGAAACATGCCACTTTAAATATACAGGTTGAAACCCTCTATTAATCTCCGAACAGTCTAATGTGTTGTAGCTTCACACTCAGGGATAACACTACATCTACGACACTGCTGTAACAACCGTAATGGGTAATTTTATCAGAATAAAAGCTGTTAAATCCAAGTAGATGCAGTCGTCGTAGTGAATGAAAAAAGACGCGCCACGACATTGAGCTCCACACTGATTTTTCTCATGTTGCATCAATTACTGAAGTTAACACGTTGCGATTTGTGATCGAGCTTCAAAAGCACAAATGGGTTTGTTCCGTCGAATATTCGAACATACGTCGACTGGATCCTTAGAATAGTCAACCATTAGGTAAATAACATGAAAGCGACGTGAGAATTCCAAAGAGTTTGAGCCATCGTATTTTGATGAATTTCATTTCAGACCTATCGCAGCCACAGTGATGCTTTTCGGTAGTTGTGTGAAGCAATGCTTTGTCGACGAGAAGAACGGCGACGGTTTCTGCTATGACAAAAAGCGGTGCGTCGAATTTATTTTTTATTGCTTATCAAGAAGTGTGGGCACGTGTGGCGCAGTGGTTGGAGGTGCCAGTGACACATACACGTGGAATCGTTCGCCGCGCTCATAGCCTATCAAGCCTTCCATCCCTCCGAGGTCGACAAATTGGTACCAGACTTGTCTGGGAGGATAGCAGCACTGACTCGATACATCGGTAGGCCACTGCGAGACATTGTAAAGGTCAGATATGCATTCAGTCACCTCCAACGATACCTAATGAAATCGAATGCATGGTGCATCACTCAGGTATAGATCAATGCCGAGAGCTTTATCCCTTTTATCAAGAAGTGTTGGTAGCATGATTGAAGCGGTGAGCATAGAGAATATGAAGGAACAGAAGCTTAACAGGGGTGCTAAACTTTGAGACAGCATCAGTAAAAGCTAGTCCGATAGCTACCTTTTTTTAAATGCCTTATATATGTACCACTATATTTAATGAGCTCTGTAACCTTACCCAATAAGCATGAACTTCAATTCATATCTTGGCTCTATTGAGAGTCGTTTTAACAACAAGCGACATTTAGCAGTTACAGGTGAATCTCTTTGTAGCCAGTGTAACATGAATAATTGCCATGTTTCAGTTGTCAGCCATTAATCACTAAAAATAATCTTCGTAGTGCGTTGCGGTCTTGTCTTGCAACGATTGACTGGAAACAAAGCATAGCTGATCTATGTCATTGCGCACAAGATGTTGGGTTCAGGTAAATGCCTTCAGAAGCGTTTAGATTTTTCCTAGCACAGAAACAGATCTGCTACATGCACTGATTTTTCTACATCTTCTATTTCAACGTCGTCTATTAGTTCACTGCTCTAGAAAGAAGATGCCTTTGATAAAATCGGACTTTTTAGCAACAAAAAAAGTGAAAAGTGAGAGTGGATTTTGGAGTATTAGTCCCATTGCAGATTCGAGATCAAAGGTATGTGCTCGCTGCTGAGGTATGTGCGAGGGTTACAAGGATGAGGTGAAGAAGAAGCGATGAACCGTGCACGAGAATTTATGTTGATAATAAAAAAAAATACAAGATTACGGTAGAATATACTCGTTGGAACCTGGAGCGGTTCTCAGTAATAGCACGATACCGAGAAAAAATATTTGTTTTGCAAAAAAAAAAAGAATTTATCGGTCGCTCTTCAACGGACGTTTTGAATAAAAGCTAAAAAGCTATGACTCAGCTTAAAAACAACTCTATTAGCCGAAATAAAAGGTATTGAATCTACAGAGTTTTTCAATAGCGCGCGTTACCACCACCTTTTCCGTGAGTGTTCCTTAGACAGCAATAACTACGAAGTAGGTGACAAATTTCGCATGTATTCGAACAATACTCTCAAAATCTTTAACAGGTATCGAGGCAAATGCTTAGTACCAATGTCACAGCTGCACAATAATTCGGTATGCAACAGGTTCGAGAACTAGTAAAATCAAAACTACTAGGCTATCAGATGGGAGTGGAGAGTTTGTAATAATTCCTCTTCAAGTGGATATTGAAACAACGGAAAAACATCGTTAAGAAGCTTTCCTTCGACGTTCACGATTTGAAAAGGAGCTTTAATGTCGATGCTAATACCGAGAATTGAACACAGAATGGATCAAAGTGACAAGCGCAAAAGTTTTAAAATCACCAGTCATCTCGCAAAATAGAGCTGAACTATCAGCACATATCATCTTATAATTTTCGAGACTCTGAAGTTAATATACACTGGTAATCATGCGTCTATCGATACCTGTCAATCGATGCTCAAGGTTAGATTAATCATCAGCCCTGTAGACGAACCTACGGAAAGAATAGCTTAATATACAAACCTAATACTCAACCAGTTGCTGAGACGCAAAGTAGCCCATCTGACGAATAACTAAACGTTCCTGGATCGTCTGCATAGAGCGCATCCTAATAGCACGTACGTTGTGGAGTCCTTCTACAATACCGTGCTTTATATAAACACGTCGAATAACTACGCTACGCAAGCCGTCCTCTAACACCTCATGCAACACAAAGGAGTAATAAGCATGCATGACTTCTAGATTCAGCAGCTCTTTGCCCTCTTAAAGGTGTCTCTACACCGTTCGATCTTCAAATAGTCAGGAAGATATCGCGCACAAATGGAAAGGAAATGGCACAGCGACAGGTATCAAGCCCTAACACTGCCTTCGTGTCTAGGGGTGAAACGCTAGTAATCAATCTCCGGCCATTACTCTACTGCGGGTATATAGATGATTGTCTTGTCACCTGCCTCACACGAATGGAGATGGGCAAATTTGTTTAAGTTATTGAACGGACAGCCAGAGTGCATTAAGTTTCCCTGAGAGAAATCGAAATAAAACTCGCTTCCATTTCTGAGCGTTCAATTCAACCAATCTAAAAATGGCTGCATCACAAAGTGTTACCAAAAGTGAATTACTAAAAGTGTACTGATTCACTGTCTCTCCTCTTACCCCTCACACGCAAAAAAGGCGCTGGTGGAAAACGTGTTCCCAATAGCAGCCATTGTGGGCAGCAAGAAGACCGCAGAAGCAAGAATCCCTGAAGTTAGCTCGGAAAGCAGCTATTTCCAATGGCTATAAAACTACTTAACTACTTCGAGATCCAGGAGAATATACGTCGACAGCGAAACATAGATGGGCCGATCACATAATGAGAAGAACAGACGACAGTTGAACGAAAAGAACAGTAGAGTGGACTTCAAGAGAATGCAAAGGTCCTCTTGGACGACCACCTACACGTCGGGCGGACGTGTTCGTAAACGAAGTTAATCAGCTGTACCCGCAGCTGCAGTTGTTTTACGGATTACGGTATGAGACTCGCAAGCGCTACCACGCTCGAACAAGACCACCATCATGGACTACGATTGCGAGAGAAAGGAACGAATGGCACATGTGCTAGGGTCCGCACAGCTCGTGAAGATAGACCGTCCAAGTAAGCAAGTAAGTAAAAACGAAACTGCAGCACCTTGGGATAGGTGTAGAGGAAAACTACGCCCCTAAACGAGAATTCTAGCGAGGTTAAGATCCCGTCCATTCCGCGCTTTATTTCCAACGAAAAAGTGCAGGTATAAGACGTTGTTTAATAAGGGCTGCTCCAGAAAATTCGGTAACAGTGAGTGAAATAACTCGTATATAATGCTGAGATATTTGTAAAACTCCGGACCGCTGGTGTATGCGGTGGGAAACGAACACGCGTTGTTGTCCTTATCGGGGAGCAGCGCACTTCACCACCACACTATGCGGGTCCTTCGTTTTGCCTGTCTCTCAGCTAGTTCTATCGATTTTTGCCATCAGCAATCACCCGTCAACGGGATTGATCTGGGTGGTATATAATGCTGAGATATTTGCATATATTTGTGATGATAACTGAGCCTCAGCTTAACTGGGTTCAATGCCGATTTGGACTCCCCAGATCAATCCCGCTGACGGGTGATTGCTGATAGCAAAAAAATCGATAGAACTAGCTGAGAGACAGGCAAGACGAAGGACCCGGATGGTGTGGTGGTGAAGTGCGCTGCTCCCCGGTAAGGACAACAGC